GATTTTATCAGAAGCACATCAATGCTTTTATCAGCAGTTACAGGTAAAGAACAACAGGAAATTTCAATTCCCTCTTACAAAAATTTACATTAATTTGATGGCAACAGCGAGAAGCCTCCAGGAAAGCAAAACAAATGTGGTTCACAGTTCCAGTTTGGAATCATCTTTCCTTGTGGAGAGAAACTCAACAAAGCGATAAGGCAAAAGATTACAAAGCCACCACCCCAACATTTGCCATTGGGAATTCACTATTCACCCCATAACAACCCCCCAACACCACACAGAAACATCAACATACCTGGTTATGACTGAAGAACAGCAGAGCCCCTGAGTACATTAACTCTCTCGCTTCCACATATTTTCCTTGTGACATATACCTGGAAACAACAGCAAAGCCTTGATAAAAGTTACTAGAAAGCAAGTTGTATATATATCAATTAATAGAAGGATTCAATTATTTGATTCTGCTACCAGTGAGGGCCATCTGAAGCCATACTGAACCCATCTGAACCCATGCTGAAGCCAAGCAGCCTGTTCCTCTGATGGCAGGCAGCCTGCAGGCTCTGCCACACCCCACATCACAGCATTCTCTCACACACCTGGTGCAGCTCCTCCCTTCCTCACTTAGCTGTAAACCAAGAAATGAAAGAGGACAGAACTGGTTCCCAACAGTGACCCCAAGAACCATCTCCTACCACGGCACGGTGATCACAGCCTCCTGCACGTCACCACAATGGGCAACTACAGCTCTTGGAGCATCACATCTCCAGGTTAGAAATGCAGCACTTCCACCAAGAGCAGTTAAGGATAGCAGGACTTTCTCTGAGTAAGTGCCCTCAGCAGCTCAGAGCAGCAGTAAATGCCTCGTGCATCAGTTGAGCAGCTCAGCACCTGCAGCATTTTACAGCTGGCCTCATACCCAGGTGTGCCTCAGGCTTCTGGCTCCAAAGCTCCTCATGGATCCCCCTCCCACTGAGTCGTTTCCAGGAGACTCCTACTCTGGGAATGGCTGCAGCTGATACTAATGAAAACTGCTTTACAACATAAAATACATCTTAAGAACTGTTTTTTGAAAGATATTACAAAAAAAAAAAAAAAAAAAAAAAGACTAGAAATATTCACTCTGTGAATCTAAATGGCACTTAGAACCAAACAGTAACATTTTCAGAATTGAAATCTTGTGACAGATGATCCATATCATACAGACCTACAAGCGTAAGGATAACAGAAGTCAGTGTCACTACAGAGGCAGTCAGGTTGAACCTTTGATTCAACTGCCAGAGCACGCAGTGACCGGCTCCACCCAGCCTGCACTGCCCACATAACGCTGCTGGACAGCAGCAGCACATTCCTCCTGCCACGTGGAGCACAGCGAGGACAAGCATTGCAGGATGCAGGTTTGTGATAATCCTTCCTCCCCACCCTCCTCCAACCTCAAGCATACCTTGGCTTCTGACTTCTGAAGCTCTGAGTCAGGATTTCAGGTTTGACTCGCACTGGATGACGGAATGGACTAGCATTTACAGGCTGGCTTTGATCAAAGTGAATCAACACTGCATCCCAATTACAATTCCGCAGCTGAGATCACCTCACTCTGTGCTGATGTCTCTCTGGAAGACTGTTTACATTCAACAAACATTTTACAGAGGACAGACAAGACTGTCTGGGACTTCTTCCCACTCTCAGCGACTTTCCAAACAAATCTTCTCTGCCTCATTCTATCTTTTTGCCTGGAAGGAAATCCTCTCCGTAGCTACACAAATATCACCTTTCCCTTTAATTGAACACCTTCCTTCTCTTGCATTTGAAAGGGAAAAGGCAGGAACTCTCACTCCAAATTAATACAGTGAGGATTAAGCAAAGCATGTGAGCTAACGCGTATAAAACCCGAGATGAGAAACAACTGCTGAACAAAGTCATTTTCCACCACTGCAGCCACCGCCTCACGTAATCCTTCCCATAAAATAGGCCGCACCGTCTTAGATGTATGTTTATCCTCAAATACAATTTAAGTCTTAAAACTTTGATGTTGCCCTCGCTGATCCCAGCAGATCTGCTGTGTGATGGTGCTCAGTACGTAGCAGGGAGGGCAGCAATGGGAAGAGTGCACTGAGAACATTATGCCCCGCAGTGCTGAGAGTGCAGCACCCCACACTCCTGGCTGCTGTGTGCTGAGGGTAGCCACGTGCTGATCCCATTCAGCTCTGGGGACATATGGCACAATGGAGCCACGAGGCTGCTGAGGGCAACATCCCAATCCTGGCACTACCACGAGTGAACAAAGCCAGGGCCAACCAGTGGAGCCCCTACAAGGGGTACCCAATCCAGCACTCCTGAAGGGAACACAGAACGGTCTATCTATTAAATTGAATGAGAAAAGAGGTGACAACAGCAAGTCGCCGTGGATGTCAGCAATGAAAAGAAATATTGCAAGAGGCCATAGTACTATGTCTGACTGAGCATCCAGGTCTCCTCTGCTTAATCACTGCCACATACACAAGGAAGAACATTTCTACCTGTAAGTTTGGCCAGCCTAAAGCTGCCAGGGAAGGGGAATGGTGAAGGCAGAGCCAGCAAACGCTGCCCAGAGACAGCAACAGGCACAGGGCTCAGCAGGACGGCACCCAAGGAGCAGGGCAAAGGGGTGCCAGGCAGCGAGCCAGCTTCCACAGGGGCACAGCCTCAGTGCCTCCACAGTAACGCACGGGGCATGGGAAACAGGCACGGGGAGGCACAACTTTTAGCGCAATCTCGGGGCCGGGATATCCCGGACTGCAGCGAGACGAGGTGGGACGGCTCGGGAGCCCCGCAGGCTCTGCAGGAGGGAGGTGGGAGGGCCTCTGTGTTAGGGAAGGCCCGGCCCGCACGGAGCCGGGCAGCGGCGAAGGGAGGGCCGGGAATCTCCGAGCGAGAGCCGGGAGAGGCCGACGCGGGAGACGTGTCAGCAGCGCTGCGTCCCGCGGCTCTCACGGGGGGGGTCCCGCCGCCGGACCAGTGACACGGGCTCCGCCCGCCTCCTCGGCCCCGCAAGCGGCGGGACGCCGGAAAGCCGCGGAGTCACCACAGGCGGCGGCGGGGCTCAGGAGGAACCGCGGCGGGACCCCGCGGAGCGCAGGCCGGGCCCGGGATCCGTGCCGCCCGCAGCCTGCCATGCGCGCGCCCGCCCCGCCCCGCCCCCGCGTGGCCCAATGAGAGAGCGAGAGGCGGAGATGGACAGCAGCGGCGGCCAATAGAGACAGGGCGTGGGCGCGGCGGGCGGCAGCGGGGAGCGGTGCGTGGGAAGGCTCTGGAAGGCCGCGCGGGGGAGGGGCGGCGGGCCGGGCCGTACCTGAAGAAGAGCGTCCGGTACATCTGGTGCGCCTCGTAGTAGTCGCCCTTCTCGACGCTGGCGCGCAGCTTGCCCTCCACGCGCTGCACGCCGCCGCGGTTCCTGCCGCCGCCCTTGGCCGCTTCCTGCTCCGCCGCCATAATCGCCGCCGCCATCGACGCGGAGGAGCGCGGAGGGGGGGGAGGGAAGGAAGGAGGACGGGCGGGAGGCGGGCGCAGACGCGCGCAGCCCCGGAGCGACGTCGCGCCTCACCGCCCGGCTTCCGCCCGGCGCGACGGCGGCCCGCGAGGCTCAGGAGCGCGGCTGCGCGGAGTCACGTGGTGCGCGGGGGCGGGGCCGTGCGGAGGAATGGCAGCCGGCGGCGCTCCGCCCCCAGCCCGCAGAGCTTCGGCCGGAGCATCGGGGCGTCGGTGCTGCAGCACCGCTGCTCCAAAGCCGGGCTTTGAGAGGAAGAGGGGGGGCGTTAATTATTTAAAGAGATCACCGAAGATACAGAAGAAAAAAAAACAAAACCAAAGCTTTATTTTGTTTCAAATATTACATGCACTTTGAAAAAATTAAAACTCTTTATTTAAACATTTCATAGCATCTTGTCAGTTTGGAGGCAGCGAAGAACAGACGATTTGAAAAGCATTTACAAAAATACATTGCACAAAGTCCTATCTCGCTTCTTTAAAAAATAAGTTAGTGTTATTCAAAATACTCCCACTACCCAATTCCAATTTATACAGGATAATTCTAATTTAAATATGTAACATATTAAAACACCTGTACAGACAATGCAGCTCCTCTGCATCGGCCGTGGGCTCCGGCTCAAGGAAGAGTTCTCCATGCAGAGACTGTGTCGAAACATTGGAGGACTGTTGTGCAACATACAGAACTCGATTCAGAAAACCAGTCAGCAGCTCCATGTGTTAACAGTTCACAGGTCATAAAATGCATGGGAACAGCAAGATAAAAGTTCTGCACACCAAGTGCACGTAGGAGTCTTTTCTGAAAAGGATCTTTAAAAGTAGTGATGCTAAAGGGGGCTCCCAGAGCAGCCTCAGCTTGTGCTGTGTGACAAAGCTTGGGGCTGATCCAATGCATGCCCACATCCTGGATACCATTACTTTGTACTGATGAGACTTCACAGCCCCATTTTCCCTGTGCTGCATTATTGCAGTACAACATTTACCAACCATAAGATGTAAGGAATTATTGTCCCAAGAAGAGAATTTCTGAGGAGTTAAGACAGCTCTTCTCTAGGATTAAGTTCCAAATCTGCCTCGATGTACTAAGTGAGAAGAGCTGACAAAACTGTTAAACTGCTTAGTAAACATTCACATACAGCAATTAAACAAGCTCATCAAGTTGCCATGGTAAAAACCCTTAAAATAACTTGAAGTTATCCCTGAATTTTAAAGCAACCCATGGCCACAAGTTACAGTAAAGCATTCTCAGTCGCTGGTGTTAAATTAATTTTGGTTGTGTTAACTTTCCCTGACAGCAATATTTATTATAGACAACATTTATTGAAGAAGCCCTTTAGGATCCCCCAGCAGGTCAAAACAAAGTCAACTGAAGGACACCTGTAGCCACAGGCTGTTTAAACTCCATGACATTATTTGGCTTGCAGTGCTAAGCTAACAAATATGCAGTTGAGTCCTGAATTAAAAGAAAAAAATCCTAGTTGCAGAAAGTGGTTTATTCTTTTAAAAAAAACAAGCAAAAAACACATACATTCATTTGTAATAAAATAGGTATCACCTGATTGCTAACTGGGCTTTATGAACCAGAGTCGTTTGCATGCATTACTTCTCTCAGCATGGACACAAAAATATAAAGCTAACTGGCAATTACAAACTGAGCATTAGAGCAAATGAGTTTTATTTTATACAGTTCTGCTGACAGTCTTCTGCCTTCATCAGAGGATTGGTAACTCTGTAGGATATATCTTGCATCCTCGTCCTTTAAAGATTCCAGTGTTGTAGGCTGTCCGGTATATACAGATTGGAAACAAAATGTACAACTAAGCAACCCAAGCTGTAGTGTAGGGGATTATTCAGCAGGTTTCCCATGCACTCTGAACCGATAAAGACAGGTATACTCTGCATGTCCCCAATTAGAAAGAATCCTCAGTTCCACTATCTGGAATACGTTTTCACTTTTCTCCTGGAGAAAGAAAGAGCAAACACACAAACTAGAGTCAGCTCTCTAGTATAAACAGGCACAACCAAAGTTGCATTCTCAACCAAACTTGCTTTCTGCAACTCTTATTAGTAATTAAGTTACGGCTTGGGAACCTTTTACCACTTTGAACAGAACTTTCCTACTTTGTTTGCTCCTTGCTTCTTAAGGGAGCAGAATAAGTGTGAAGCTGATTCTTCATAAGTTTATCTTCACACCAGTTGTGTCCAGATGGCAAAAACATTCCCTCTCATCTCTTTAGATGATGGGTTTTGATGCAGATAGAGAAATACTTCCTACATCTGTTTTTACATTGCCCAACAGGGAATGCAGCCCTTTTCTTCACAGGTCACCGAGTACTGACACAGAAAATGAGTCTCTCCTGACACTTTAAATCCTATCATCAGACTTACCACTGTAAACATCTGCAGCGGCTCCCCTTCTTGGTCATAGACATACTGCCCCAGAAATGTGCCTTCCTCTTGATATTCATCATCTAAGCCCTGTAACAATGAGATAAAGATTTGTTTAAGTATGGAAACTGTTGAAGCATATTTACGTAACTGAGGATCAACAAGTAGCATCCAGAAATTTACCATGCAAGGATTAGAATGTTTTTCCCATGCAGCTCAGTGCTTGCTCAGACAAGCTGTACATTCTAGTTTCTGCTATGTTTGACTGTGAAAACATACAAACTCCTTAATTTTTATAGCAGGAATTAAGGAGCTAATTTACTACAATTGCACTGTAAAATATGAACTGCTCATAACAAACAGAATTGCTAAATATCCCTCCAAACTACTTTTAGCACTAATCTAGATCCTGAAGCTCATCAAAAATACGAACAATTCTAACAAAGACTGAAACAAGTTTCTCTCCTTAGCTGTTTTCCCTCATTATTTTTCAAGATATACAACAAATACTCTTTATAAACACCAACAATTTAAAACTCGAGACTTACATATACTGCAAACTTCCTAGGAGCACTGGTGATATTTCCTGATGGTGAAAGTGTTTTTGGTATGTGTTCCAATGAGAAGGCAGTAGGATAGATCTTCATGGAAAGTCTAACTACCAGATATCCCTCCGATCCCTTGAAAGCCCAGCAGTTTCCTGGATACATGTCCGGCTGAACAGGTTTCAGGGCAAGTAGACAGCAAGGAATGGAAAGAACAGGACAAGAACAAACATTTTTTGCATTTTGTTTTTGCAATGAATTCTGAATTACTAGTCTTAAAATGATCATAAGTGGCAGAACAAGTTATTCAGTAACCAGTAAGATACACAATAACTCTACTCCTAATCACAAATCCAATCCTGCCTCCAAAGACCAAACATGAAATGATACTTTGTGTTAGAAGGACTATACAATAAATTAGAAGAACTGGGTTGCACAGTTTTAATTGTATTCTTCACAAAGGCAGCAGATCCACCTGAATTATCAGCTCTCTTGGAGACTGCTTTCTAACAGGAACCCTCCCAGTGCTCACATTTTGCAGAAATTCAGTGCAGCAGCCAAGCCTGCTATGAGAGCCTTAGTTTTGTTAAGAAGGGCCTTAAGCAATGCCAAGGACCTTCAAGAATAATCACACTCCCAGAACAAAGTTCAAAGTACCCCATCCCAGAGATGTGTATCAGAAAAAACACTCAGCACCCAAGAACCACCCCAGGATACTCAACACAAAGCTGAACTTGTTTACTTAACTTTTAATTACCTGAATAACTACTCTGGGAGACTGAGAGAAGTACCACAGAGGAATTCCAAAGAGGCTAATTAACGCTGTTTTTGTCTCATAGGTTTCAGAACAGCGAGTACTCAAAATGCTGCCACCTTAAAAAAGATAAAATCAGGTTAGCAGAAGTAATTTTTCATTCTTTCCTGAAGGCTTTATTCCCCCCTCCCAAAAAAAACAACAGGAACTCAATCAAATATTAAAGGTATTGTTAATCTCTAATAATTTTCTAACTTTCCAAAGCTGTGCTTCTATCAAATACAATGTTATTTTAAATAAACATTAAAGATCTCTCACTTCAGAAGACTGAAAGATTGTACACTTTCCATAGTAAATTCAGTGATGTTCAGTCACTTCACACATATAGATCTGTGGTTCTCAACTATCCAGTTACACACACATTCAGAAGATCTATTTTTATTAGAACTATATTATTTTCCCTAATATTATAGTATTTATTCTGTTTACCTCCAGATTCTAAGGCAAAATCCACCATACCAGTCTTGTCTTGAGAGTACAGCTTCAACGCATTGTTTACGATGATCTGTGCTTGCTACGGGTGGACACAGAATAGAAAGGAAAAACAATATTAAGTGACAAGAGCTGATATTCACACGTCAAGTGGCAAACATCCTTCTGAGATGCTGTACTCTATCACTAATTTTTGAAAGCTTCAGCCAACATAAAGTTTGTTTCTAAATACTTGACTGAATGACTCAAAACAAACTCATACTACATCTTGCCTGATGTTTTTTTCAGAATTGGAATTCCCTACCCTTCACCCATCTGCCCACATCATTTGGGAATTCTTCTGTACTCAAGATAGCAGACTTTTTTGGGAAAAATAAAGCACATTCAGAGCAGACAACATAACTGCTGTAAGAGCACACTCATTTTCCATAGTTCTGCCCATTTCAATTAATCTTCCAGGCACCTCTTAAAGTCATTAACATTTACGCAGACAGTTGTGTTCCACTAAATGCATGTGGAGGACAATTTTATTGAACTTCTTAGCACTTCAGCTGACTCACTGCTTCTGTGATTCCGGAAATCCCTGCATTATTCACAGCACTTGTTACTACTTCAGATGTAATTCTTTGGTTTGTTACAGCCATCTGCAGAGTAATATTCTTGAGAATTTGCAACTCCAGATCCTGCAGCAAAGTTTGCAGATCACTTCTGGTCACAAAATTGGATGTAAGCCACTGGAGAAGCGATTCAGGAAAATCCTTGTGCTGATCACCAAAAACCATCATCTTGACAGATTCTTTAACCTGGGCATCTACCTATTTACCAACAATTACAATAGAAATGATTAGTATTACTTAATGGTTTACGAAGACCATCTAGTAGGGACATATGAAAGTCAATACATCCTTCCAGTACTACAGAGAAACCTAGCCTTTGCATGTGTTTTAACTACAGTGACTTACACTAGGGTAACAGAAAGGCAATTATGCAGAAGACATGGATGAACAGGATGCTTCACTGATTTGGTGAGGAGCTAACAAAGTCCTGCTAATGAAGGGCTTTATGTTAGGAAGTCTGACTGATGTTTCAGAACAGAAGAGTTGACTGCAACAGTACAAAGGGACTGTGGCAACTTTCAGGGGAGCAGTATACTTATCAGGCCTAAGTAAGCAAGTCACTTAAGTGACTGTTCACCTATGGCATACTTTGATTTCATACACATTGATAAAATATCTCGTGATAGCACTGGAATATCAACTTGGACAAAATAAGAACTTAAAGACTGCTGCATTTTATTGACTACATTCAAATTGAACCTTACAGAAGTTTAAAAAAATAAAGCATGATTTTTAACATCAGTTTCAGATGACAAACCTAGCTATCGCTTATACATGAGTTCCTTTTCCATATTTGCATGAGTTGGCATAATATGTCAGCTATAACAGCAAAGTACAGTACATTCAAATGATACTGCATTATCTCAAATGCAAATGAAGCTGCCATTGTGAAAAACAAACCACAAGCTCATCTAGTAAGGTGCTACCCAATAATGGAAAAATCGTAGTACCACTCCATGAAGCACTACTGGTTTTTAAGATGAATAATATTCCTATATCACTTTTGCAGTGCCTTTCAAAAAGTCTGTGAACACAATCTAGTCTGAATTTTCCTAGGATGGTTACCAGAACTTACTTTTTCATGAATGACATCTATTTTCTCACAACTTGTCTTCATACTTTCTCCAGTTAATAGCTCTGATTTCACTTGAGACAACTCCAGCTCCAGCTTTTTAACTCTGGATAAGAGTTGATTATGTTCATCACCATCTCTGACAAAAACAAATAGTCAAAAATTAGGAAACAATTAGTTTCAATCATTCCATCAAATTCTAAAGGCATGAGAATATATTTGTCTAAATACGAAGTGCTTTCCTAGTTCAGTTATCCATTGAGATAGACATCATAAGCTTGCAGTTCCTTGAAGGCTTTCAGACCCTTAGGTTGAAGATAATGGAAGTAAAATATTTCAAAGTACTGAACAAATCCAGAAGCAATGACTTTCAGAACATCATCTCACTGACAACTTAGTAATTCAGACAAATACAGTTTTCTGGTTTGACAGACCAGCCAAGCTTTACTTGCTTGAGTTGGCCACTGATTAGAGCAAGTTTCAAGTTACCTTAACACCTGTCTATGAAATTACTGCTTTCAGCTGAGCCTGTAAGCACAGATTAATCAACTACTACTCATCAGCACTCAGTGTGTGCTACAGAAAGAAGCATTATCCAACATTCCAAAGCTATTTCAATTAAATGTAAAAGTAAGAATTCACAAAGTGTTTTCTCTTCCCAACGGGAAACTACTTAACGAAATTCTGTGGGCTTTTTTCCTGACAAACCAAAACCATAGCTGAAAGCTAGAGTTGATAAGAATAAAAAAAATTAAAAATATAAGATGCATCAAAAGCAACCACTGTATACTAAGCAGTTTGAGGAGGAAATCTTATGTGTCTGTAAAAGCACAAGAAGTCTTTCACAACTAATAACTGATAGCTGTCTTTTAAAAAAGCCCATTAGTTAGCTTCAAGGCTAAACAAAAAAATTAAGTGCTCATACCTTACTGTTTTTGCTTTGGCTATTTCAAGTTCCTTCTGAATGTCCTAAAAACAAGAACAAAAGTTTAGTTTAACACAATAATGCAAGTGACAGACAAAAAAAATCAAGTGAAAAAGTGAGACATTCTAGCACCACCTATATGAGGCTGTGTTCCTACTTTACTTATATTCGTGCCTCTGTATAGTAAGATTGTATTTCAAACAGCACCCACCTTCCTGGGCAATTTTTAACCTTTGAACTGAAAACACTGCCAAGAATGGAGAAAAGAAAAAACACTAGCAGTGAGACTGAAACAAATGTTCAAAACTAGGGTAAAGTAAACTAAGTTAGAGGACAGAAGAAAATAAGTAGTTTGTTGCCTATTTCATCAGAACATTACTATTATATCTATATTTTCTAAAGTTAGAAAAGCTAACTTTCATACCTTAAATTCAGCAGAGAGTTTTCTAAGAAGATCTTCCAACGTTATGATGCGCAAGTTGTGCTCTTGATGTAAAGCCAGGAAGTCAGTCTTAAAAACAGGAAAGAAAAAAGCAGCATGCTTTGAGTACAAAGTACTTGGCTAAAATGGTGTTTCTTTCATTCTGTGACTGTAACTTTCAAGAATGCTTAAATAATGACAGCATAAGTCAATTCCACACCAGAAGGAGAATCCTAAGAAGTCACATCACTAATCAACAGCATTAATAAAACAGTGCTTTGATCAGTCTCAGAAACTGTCAGTAATTGACTTATCATTACCTTTTCCTCCAGTCTCTTATCTTTAAGATGTTGATCCATCACATTTCTTATTAGCTTCAAGATTTCATTTCTGTCACCCATCTGGGCAACCTGATCTTGAAGATTATGGAGTAGAAGCAGCACTTTGCTGTATTCTTCATCATGATGATGGCATCTGTCAGACACGAAGGCCATCTGCTTTTCCAGCTCATTTATACGAGCAGAATCAAATATATTTATGGTATCCTAAGGTATAAAGATTTATTTGTTTAACATAGAAAAATAAATTTTATTACTCTTGGGTGTGAAGTGGTTATTGCAAAATTCCAAAGACAGGGGAGTTAAGAGGACTTAAGAGAAAGTTCTTGACTAGACTGTTCTCCCTTACCTTTGGAGGCTGTACAGAACGAGAAGAATCAGGTTGTGGACCAGGAACATAAATAGAGTCATCTGTGCTCTGGACTTTATCAATTCTTGTCTGGTTCAACAGAGGCAACAGTGCAACGAAGCTGTCAAATCCCCAGAACCATAAACCTTCAGTGAGAAAAAAAGCAAAAAAGGGAGTTCAATCTACAAATTATGTTCCTATTTAAGGACACAGATTACCTTATGTTTTGCCACACAGTAAACACTACTCCAGCCTGAAGAGTTATCTACATGAGGCAATTTCAAAACTGTTAAGTCAAGTACCCAAAAGCATTAGGCAACGTAAATCAGTATCACTTACAGGTGATTTCTGCTTATATATGATACATTCTTAATCTTATACTACTGCTCCCTGGAACACAGATCTCATCTGTTGAATATGACAGGCCATACTCACTGACAATTACCTTATTGGAAAATATCTTGCCTTATACCCTATTTACTACAAACCACATTGCACGATGTCTAAGAGAAGTTGGAGGAAACTTATGCTTCCATGAAAACACAGAATTTGACAAAGATTATACTTATTTCTGCAATATTTTAATGACAAGAAACAGCATTTTTACACAGCATAACTTCTTGCTTTCTTATTCTCCATACAGCTCCTCACGTTTCTGAAAGAAGTTTTTTGAAGATATAAAAAGACACGAAAATGCTTTTCAAAAAATAGCTCAATATCTTCAGTAAATACTTTAAATAGGAGTTTCTTTCAAAGATGACAACTGGCCTGGAACATTGCCAGCTAATCTGTCTAAGGTAGTGGTATTTCAAGCAACTTAAGTATGGAGATTAAGTATGGAGAAAAAGAATGCTTTGGGATGCATAAATAAAAAACCATAAACACACTTTCACAGAGACTGACAGCAACCAAAAGCAATCAGCTTTTATGCAGGTTGACAATGAAAAGCCTACTCTTTATGAGCTCAATGCTGCTCCTATGAAAGGGAATAAACATACTTGAGTGTTTTTACAATTACTTGCTATGTCTAAAAAGCTCTATGAAATTAAACTTTCATGAAACAAGAGCCCACTGACTCACCAGTACTTTTAAAAAGTATTCACAAACTGTTCACAAACCAAAACTCAGCCTTTTTAGCTCCTACATCTTCACCATGAACCCACAGCCCAATTAGAAGAACTTCCTTGGCAAAGCAGTGGTAAGCATACACTGATTGGTATGAAATCTGTACAATCCACATACCTAGTAGAAACAGCAGTGGAATGAGAAACAACAACAGCCTGGAAACCTTTGGAAGGCATCTAGAGAAAGAGAAGAAAGTATGCAAGAAATAATATTATCATATTTCACCTGATAACTGGGAACAGAACTTGCTCAGAAAAGTATTTATAATTGATACATACTTTCTAAGAATAAACACCTTCAGCAAAGACATCAGAGTATAAAGTTGATTCCAACCAGCTCTAAGCAACCTGAAGATGCCACAAGCTGCTCTCCCTGGAAGAGAGAAGAGGTGACATTACTGCACCACATGTTCAAGGAAACCAAGCAGAGGGACATGCAACTGTGGCCTCGGGTACTTTGCAGAGCAGAGAAATGGATGAGCACAAGCAACACACAGGTTAGTAACATCTAGATGTATCTCACAGTATGACAGCACTATAACCTCAGCTACTCAAAAAGAATAATAACCATGCAAAGACATTAAATCTCAGTGGTTACAACAATGCCATCTTCCTGAAAATTCAGCAAGAAATGTTGAGTCCAAGTTCTCATACTAAAGACCTCAGCATGTCTGAAGAAATGCACATATTAGCAGAATGAGTTCACTGAGAGGAATGCCATGGCAGGAAGCAAATACCAAACCAAACACACCCCATTCTTTTTGACACCCCTTATCTGGGCTGTTAACACACTCAGTGACACACAAGCAGACCAGTTAGTGTCCCACTACATCTGTGAGCAGAAGCATACTCTCTCACTACGCATGCTTTGGCCAGTAAAGCACAGCAGCTTGTGCACTCAACTTATGCAAGCTCCAGAGTAAGCACAGCAGAATTAGTGTAAGCCATCTACTGCAAACTTCCTATCTGTCAAGAAGGGACAGGCAACACACAGACATACACACACAAATCAGGATAGTAACCTGGGGAAAGAATGGCCAGCCAAAGTAGAGACAACACCTTCTGGGACACAAACCATCCAGCTGCTCCCACTGTTTGCAACACGTGCAGCACAAAGTAACCTAGATTATAACAAATTAACTATGTGGCAACATACAAATAAGGTTCTTCACAATACATACAGAAGAAAAGCCTCCATCCCCTGACCATTATGTGCTCTGCACAGTATTAAACCATGCCTTTCAGTAATCTACAGACTTGTTTTCTCAGTATTTAGAAGCAAATTAAACCACCAATAAATATGAATTTAAGTAAAAGCAAGACAATTTAGAAACAGAATTCTCTTGTACAGCAACAGGTGTAATGGACAACAACCTCTGTGCAGTAAGAAAGCCACTTCCTTCTTCACAACAGCCAAAGTTCACATTTTGTAGCATGGCATTTAGATAAACAAGCCAAGTGTAACGGATAATGGAAAAAAATTATTCCCATAAAACTATGCTTTAAGTACATTAATTTTATATGCATCTTTCTTGTTCTAGATTTTAGACCAAGTTTACTATCCACAGTCATGTTTAAAAATAGGAAACAATTGAAGTTTAAAATTCTAGAGAAAAAAATTGATAATGATACCAATATGTACTGATAACCAGACATTCACTACTGAATGCAGGATGCAAGCAATACAATGTCAATTTTGAGTCTCTGAAAGCAAAAGTCAAATGCAGCATGCTAAAACAAAATGCAGTAACTGAAACTCCCCAGAAGCCAGCAGTTACTGTATCTACAGCTAGGGCTGCTCGCTCTACAGAACAAACTACGTAATACCAACTTAGAAAATAATCCTACACTTTTAGATTAGCATCTATGTCTGGGTTAATCTGAGGGATTATAGGTATACCAACCCAATATTTTGCAAAGCATTTAGGTGAATGAAGTGTCTCAAATCATTTTCCTTTGCTGAACAAAGAGCATTCAAACAGATTCTTGATGCCTCTGCCATTCAAGCTAGGGAACGCTCATCTCACAGGGAAGATTCTATTACTATAAAAGATTCCTGCAAAAATTGACTATCACTAGAACAAAAATAAAATGTTAAAAACCCTTTATTCAAATCATCTGTATATCAATACCTTGTATCTTGCTTTTATTTAAAGGCAGCTCTCCACCCTATTGAGAGTATGAACTTCCCCAAAGCACAATAAGCTAACAATCTGAATTGCTTTCTCAAACAAGCTGTATGCCTTCATCACACTTCATTTTAACTACATAGGCAGCCTACCAAGCCTGTACAAAAGCCAGTATCAGCACAGTAAGTCAAAATGAAAAAGATGTTAAGCAAATCAATTTCCTCAACGCTGTACATTTTCGTCTACTCAAGGGATAAAGATAAAAACAACAAGACAATATGAATGATTTAACAGATTGATGCAAAATAAAAGCAAAATAAAAAAGGTCCGAGTCAACCTGCATAAGAAAAGATGTGCGAAATGGTCCTTGCTACCCTTTTAGCCCTGGAGGACTGCATGTGCTCTGTGGTGTGTATTTCAAGTTGTTTCTTCCCCTTACAGTCATCACCTGTTGATTATGGTAACAGATGATTAATGGGACAAAGCCAGGATCAAATCAAGAACGTTACAAGACAACGTGAACAAGACTACTTCATATTAACAGTTACCAAGCTAAAAAACATCAAGCAAATTCCAACAGGCTAAAACTTGTCTTGAGCAATGGTACAGAATGCCAGGGAATCACTTTTCTGCCCTCTGCAATTAAACTAGAAAATAAGCATTTACTCTGAAGCTTCCACAAAGGCATGAAGCACAAACTGCTATTATAGCAACAATAGCATACCAAGCATAATGTACAGCCCAAGGCCAAAGGCAACATAAATGGTTATACTTACATATTGATTCCTCATTTACACCAAGATGGCTATCCTCTCTGTAAAACTCCTTTATATTCATGCTTCCACAGTAATCTGAGTGAGCTGCAATATATCCAGAAAGGATAAACAGAATATAAATTCTCAACCTCAAAGCCTTTCCTATCACTGGACTTGAAACAAACTCACTTGGCTTGCTATTAGAAGCCAGGTACCTGAAGGAAACCTGAAAAATGATCCTGGAAGAAGCCTACCTTGTGTAATCCTGCTTTTTCTTTAAATAAAAAGGGGCATTTTTGTTTTAAAAAAAAGTTCTCTTTTCAGATAGTAAAGTTAGTTTAAAAAAAACCCCAAGTACCAATCCCTGAATCCCTATTCCTGTCAGCCTGTCAGATGAGCCACATCCTTGTGCCGTTCCAACAGAAAAGTAACTGAGAAGAGAGCACTTACAAGTTATAAAGCACTAAGGTAGAAAGGACCAGACTGGACATCAAAAAAAGTTTCATACAATCACAAAAACCTCAATTACTTCCTGCTTACAGCATTTAATTTCACTCAGAAAGCATATGATGTGGAAGAAAAAACGAAGAGGAATTGAACTTTGTCAAGGAAAACAAGATGTGCAGAGCAACAACTGCACTTTGCAAGACAGACATAACGAAGCTCTGAGTATGCAGTGGACTGAAGGCCAAGAAGAAAAAAGTTCAGAGTTCACACTGTGACACAGAACAGCTCTGAAAAGCAACTTGTCTTTTCCTAGTAAAAAAAAAAATAGGAAATCAACACACAGATCTTAACTGTAACAGAGATTTTTCTCACAGATCCAGATACTGATATTTTGAAAACAGAAGAAAAATATGCAAAGTGTAGCACAAGTGAGAGAATTAAAAAAAATAATAAAAGATAGAAAAACAGGAGCCAGCCAGGACTATAGATAAACACCATAGTGCCATAGAAGAAGTCCGTAAGAAAAACAAAGAACAAAAAACACACACACTGGTTTTGTGTGGAAACCAAGAAAGACAACTGAAAAGGTACCTTTAGATTCATAACTCTGCTTCACCAAAACCATTTGAAATAGTTGCACTAACAGTGATGCAAGAGATGCTGCAGTATGTTTGACCAATCGCAGGATCTTACTCATGTAGAAATAGGTGCCTCCTATTGAAAAAGAAGTGTGAACACAAGTTATTTACCTGCAAAAAGGTGCACCTCTACTCGCCAGTGAGCATTAGCTTGCAGAAAAGTGAGAACTAAGCATCAAAAGCTTTAGTTTAGCCAGGAGTATGAAAATTCAGTAAGCCTGAATCAAGAAGTCTAGATGCATTAGCTATTACAGGCAAATGTTTTTGCATCAACTATGCAACCTGTAAGAAATGCCAAGGTATTTGTCTTGAAGGCAAGAGTACCTTTTCTTAGTGAGAATTAAAAACTCCAATGAATAGCAACAAAATTCTTGCTTACATAACTAAAGGTTTCTGATACTGATTTTGTGAGGTCAAAACGCCAAAAAATTCTGGTTTGAAAGGAAGATAACTTTTCATCTTCTCCTCCCCTTTACACTGGAAGAAGAAAGTTACTGCAGTGGTCTGTCTCAAGTGCTTTAGAGATGCTTCTCCTTTAGAGCAACAGGGATGAAGCCCTCCATGCTGCTGCTTTCTTAGAAACAGCCACACTTCAGAAGCCTGCTATGATTTTGGGCTCCTTGATCCCAGCACTCATTTAACCTAAACATCAGATTCGAGTTCAGGAGAACATATGAAGATGAGTTCATTTTTAAGATTCTCCCCAGTGAATACAAACTCTGGAACACAGAACAGCTTTTATACCGTGTTGCTAAGCAGCTCATTATGTCAAGACAACAGAATTCCTACCTATGCCACACAATTTCCAAAAAGGAAAACTTGCCTTAAATATTTAAAGTTGCACCACACAGTCCAAAATCCAAAGATTTATAGCTAACTGGAAATATACATCATTCAAGAATAACACATCTACAGAGTCCTAAAAGTGGGTTTTTTTTCCCCCCCCTTCAATTTCAGGCCACTAAAGAAACACCTAGATTTCAGGCCACTAAAGAAACAGTGATTACTGAGGACTACCAAGCATCAAGAAGCTCAGGATGCTATGCAAGAGGCAGGCAGCCAAGACACGAGGCCAACTCTGCAGAGTGTGGAGATCATCTTGGAAAGGCAGAACATTTACTGAAGATTTAGTTCCACGTTTCAGGAATGTAGGCACTACAAGTCAACTTGAAAACAGTTTTACCATTAGGAGCTGAACCTCAACCACTACAAAAATTGAACTCCAAAATAAACACTGGAAGGTTACATGAGAAGAAAGAGTTCTCTCTCAGAAATTCCCTGGGCAACAGAAGCACTGCTGAAATAATGGTTCTGTTCCATCTTGAAAATTCAAATCACATAATTCAGACCACATTGAAAAAGTTCCTATCTGAAAATCCATGGACAGACAAATGTAGGTCCAATGACAGATCAAGAGACGCCTAAACACCTGTGCTGGATGAACAGCCCATCTTGTTCTGTATCAGTTTAAACATGTAATCTATTAGGATACTAGGAGGTTCATCTGAGATGTAAAAGGTATTTCATAAAACAAATCACAAGAATTTCATTATTAATAGATATAACAGGGTAGGAAAGGTACTTAATTAGCACTATGTAAAAATGTATCAACTAAGCCACATACTGTTCTGCTACTCAGGGAAAGCACAAGAGAAAGTTACTTACTAGATGCATGTTTCTGGCTCCTGTCCCTAGAGTAAATCCTGGAAGATGGCCCAGAAGAAGCAGAGTACGCTGTAAGAACCTCCTTCCGTTCAGAAAGCATGCTGCAGTCACTGCATGTGTACCCATTTATCATTGTAGTCTGCGTTTCTGCTGTTGCTATATCACCATTTCTCTGCAGGAGCGTGGCATCGCTACCTAGCAAACCAGGAGCAGAACATTCAGTGCAAGAATTATTAACATCACTAGTTACCATTAAACAGAACTCATAGAGAAGCAAAAGAAAGGTGTAGTTACCTTTAGGGTCACCATCATCATCAAGACCTTCAAAGAAGAAAGAAAAAAAATTTGTTCACAAAGATAAGGAAAAGCCCCATGAACAATTATGATGTGTGATGTGAACTCAAAGCTGAGGTCCTGCTAACTTCAAAACTGCAAAGAAAAGTCACTTGAAGATCTAACATTTTTCAGTTCATCACATGAGAAGATCCATATATCTGTATCCTAACGGTTTATGAGAAGTGTCCTGTCACAGAAGCAGTCAAGTATGGATGACAATTATACTTTCTCTTAGCTCCCATTTCACTTCAAAGCAGCTAATTACAAACTTACACTGTTTTTCTTGCTTAGTAACCACTTTTCAATCTGGATCTAAAAGATATAGTGCTATTACAGACAAGTAATCCAAATCTTACCATGCTTTCTACTAAAATTGAAACAATTCTTTGCATTCTCACTCTGGGGCAGTCACAAACGTACTGACTGGAAACAAGCAGCCTGAACTGGGTGCTATAGTAAGTAGCTGATCTTCTAGAGGTTGACTCCAGAAAAGGATGCTTGTTCATACTTAGGAAAAACTATTAATCAGTCATAGGCAAAAACCCCCCAGGAAATCTTGAGGTATCACCAACTTCAAACTTTCAGGTTAGGGTACTTTACGTTCAAACACATTTCCACCTGTATCAAACAAATATGCTTTTCCTTTGGTTTTTCAAGAGAAACGTCACAAACTTACATGTTTATTCTACCAACACTTTGACGCAATAATGACAGAAAAACAGTTTCACTTTGTGACATGAACTATTTTGACTATGCTAGCATAACCAAGTTCACACAATGTAGCGTGAATTTCCAGTAGGCATCTTAGCAAAGCAGACACCCACAGTAAAAGTAGAAGTACATGCAGGGGGCATGATGGGAAAATGGGCGAGCAAGAGAGGGAAGATGTGAAAATGTTCACACACAAACTGTAAGCAGTTTTGACAGTCTGATATGACCAAAAGCATTCATGACCTACCCCAGAAATGATCAACTTCTGTCTGCTCTCGAATCGAAGATTCATCCAGCACAGTGGATACCATCGACGTATCGCTGGCACGGCTGAGAAAACTGCTTTGGTTAAAAATGGGAGAGCTGGACAGATTTTTCCTCGGCATGTCTCTCACACTGCCAGACTGTTTGTTTATGCTTTTGCGCTGCTTCATCATACTAGAAAACAAAGCAATGAGAAAACAAAGAGATACAGCACTAACAGATACAAGTTTCTGTTTTTCACTTTTAGAAAAATTAATAAAAAGACAAGCTTTTTCAACACTGATGTAACTGGGCAGCCACAATTCAGAGAAAGTTCTTACTTCTACGCTCCTACAGTTTTACAAAGAATTCATTGTAAACTATACACTCTAAGTTATGATATTAAGCACTGAGAACAAGAAATGAAACAGCAAGTAATCCATTTCCTCTTTATCATGTTCAGACAGAAATTCTCAAGACTGCAACCAAGAAATTAACTTGTGAGGATAGAAAATGCTTACTTAGAAGACTGTTCCCTGAAAGTCACGTTCCTGGTGTAAGAGCTGTCATGAAGGATATCATTTCGGGCACTATCTGGTTTATTAACTCCTGCAGCAGCTAACCGTAAACTACGCCGTGACATCCTTGGTGAATCAAACACTGGATCTATTTTGTGTTCAATCTCAAAATCCAAAGCATCTGAAGAATAACTTGAACTAAAACAAAATAAGAACAGGAAAGTTAGAATTCAAAAGAAAATCCCCCTAGAAATGAGCATGCCCTTCAGGCTAGACTAAGTTTCAATTAAAAGCAGTTTATCTGGGGTTACGGAGCAAGTGCCACAAGACATGCAATATCACCCAGATAACAGGAGCACAAAGAGCAATTCCTATTGCAAGTTCAACAAACAGAAAGCAAACCACAGAAAGAAACAAATACCATGGAAACCATGTCTGCAGCTGAGGCAGAGCAAGCATTGTGCAGCCTCAGACATAGCACTTTCAGCACCAATTTAAGAGATGAAACCATTTATGACACAAAGCTGCTTTCCCATGCCTCGCTGCAAATAAAAAAAATCATGATGCATTTTATGTCACAAGACTTAATTTGTCTTTTTCTTATTTGATTTTTTTGCTTGCTGTTTTATCCCACAAAAGCAAATACATACATAAGTAAGCTTCATTCCAGTATCCCAGAAATCAAACCCACACCCATACACTTGATTCTTTCAAAAGCTTCATAAGAACTCACAATGAAGACAGAGCATGCAATAGCAAAGCAAGGCAAATACAAATAGATTAAGCAGAAGAATCAGTAAGACATGCATTTACTGAAACAGAAGTTTAGCCTAAAGCAGAATACTTGTTCTTGCAATGAAAGGAAACATTCAGTTATGTAATGGAGCAGAGCTTGTCATTACAGGATGCTGTGTAGCAGAAGCTCAGGTCCTACAGCTGCTCAGCATGGTGAACCAAAGTATCACAACACAACTGCTCTAGGCCAGTGTTCCATTGGAGTCTGCTTCCTCAGGGATACACAGAGCTGGCATAGCAGTTACTTTAATACTCCTAGGTTCCCTTTTATTTCCCCACCTGTCTCTCTCTCTTTTTTTTTTCTTAAATCTCTCTCAAAAACAAGAGAAAAGAAAACTGAGAAGGTATGAAGCATTACCAAAGAAGCTCCTGCCCCCAAGAGCCCCTGGAATAAGCACATAAAGAAGAGCTCGATAGATTCTATTGTGCAGTCTGAACTTGAAATGGATGCTCTCCAGCATACAAACAGCTGCTGCAAGTATTATTGCAAAAACAATGTTTTGAATGCAAAAAACTTTTCTTACAGTGTGAGAAAATCCCAGAACATTACAAAGTAATCATCTGATACGTAATGTATTATCTAGCATGCAAACAAATGAACGTGGGCGGTCCCAGCAGCAGCACTCCAAGCAGTGACGTAGCTCTGACAGGTGGGTGCTTTTGAAACAAGTTTCCTGACTTGCATGTAGGATACAACAGAGTTGGAGCACACAAATGGAACTTCTTCCACCTAAAAAGCCTAATCCAGCCAGCACACTGCAGGCAAACAGCTGGGTGCTCCAGCAGCAAGCAGGCATTCAGCCCACAGGACCAGACTGGTTTGTCTGAAATAACTCCTATTGCCCAGAGGTACTCAGACCTGGCAGCAGGCCCATGGCACCACCTGTTCCATCTCACTGATCTGCCCTGCCAGTGCTGCCCATACAGAGCACAACCTTGGGCAATGCAGGAGTCTCAAACACTGCTTCACATAAACCCGGCATGTTTCACTGCACGAGTTGTGATCAATCCTTCTCTGTATTTGGGGTAAAGGAAAATTGAAATAGACAGGAGCTTTCTCATGTGAAAACAGATTTAGTTGATATTTGGAAAGGCACAAAGTAACAATACATAGTGTTTTCAAAAATAATAAATGTAGGCTTGCATTCTGACAGAGGTGAAGTGAGAAGACAGGTTAAACGTGACCCTTCCTGCTGTCCATTCTGAAATCATCAGAGCCTTGATAGTTTACAGTTGGGTCCCCCCACAACACTTGTTTCAGAACTCATTTTGCTATTTACACTTGCCACTGTGCATTTGCTTATCCTCATCTGCCCCCAGCATTTCTTACAGATACTCAATTCACAAGAACACAAAGTACACAGGGCAAGCTGACAGCTGTAACCAGCTCAATTTGTTTCTGTTTGTGAACACTTGTTGTTATTAGGTATCTCAATGAGCACTGATAACAGTTTGGGTTGAATACCCAGCTTGGAGTTGGCCCACCACCTTAAACAAAAACCTGACAACAGAAAATCACTGTATCTTTTCCCCTAATCTAAAGAGAGCTTCCCCCATTTATGCAGAACACTACCTCTCCTCATGTTGAAAGAAAGTCTCCAAAGGCAGGACAGGATAGACATCTCTCAATTTCCCACCTCAGTTTCAAATTTTGGAAAGCTAGATCTTTTCCTTCCATAGAAGAAATTAAATTAAACAAATTAACAAGAAAAAAAAACAGGCCTTTCATTCAGAGGACAGAAATGAACCTATACATTGATATTATTCCTACCAAATGTATATGGCTAGCCAAACAACTTACTAAAGGCAGGATGCAATTAGCCTATGCTCCTAGGTAACGTGTAACAGTGCTGGCTTCTGACAGCCAGCTCCCCTGGCTGCTGGCACACCTGCTGACCTTAGCAGCCTCACATCTATTCCCAGCTCCACAGCTGTGCCCTTGGTACCTCCTTCACATGATCTCCTAAAGAGTACCCACTCCAGTGGGTTAATTCCAAGTTATATGAAAACGATGCCTGCCAGTTTTAGCACATATAACCTTTTCTCTTGAGGGCATGAAATGTAATTTATTTTATAAGTACTCTTTGGAAAGAAGTGGGCAGTAACGTCCATGATTACTTAAGATTGTGATAAAAGAATGCAGTGCACCTAGGAGACCTAGAACCAAACAGACATCATGTGCACATAAACGGTACATGACCGTTCATATGAACTGTGAGGGGAGCATCACTTCATTAATTGATGGACACTACCTTGAGTTGTAGCTATGGCTTTGATCAGTCCCAGAACGTGTGTAAAAAAAATACAGTCTTCCACTGACCCACTTTTACAAAAAGATGTGATGTAACACAGTGACCCAAAAGTTAAGCCAAAATCTCATTATGTTTGGAAAGAGAGAAGTGCTAAAAGTAGCTGAGAGGTACAAAAAGGGCATCCCAGAAGATGGGTGACAAGGAGAGAGCAGCCTGAAGAGTGGGGAGGAAATTACGTGCTGACAGGTGAGTGAGATTCACAGGTCTGACCTGCAGCTCGAGGAGGATAGAGATTATTTAGTTACTTCAGTTCAGTGCTTTTCTGATTTGAGTTGGAAGATTAAAAGCACGAAGCAGAACCGCTACAGTTATGAATACAGAGCAATCACTGGGAGTATTAATAGACATCCTTTTAATAGGTTATAGCCAACTCTATTAATAGCTCTGTGCTAACTTCAATGAACTTTCCTGCTTGTGTGTGTAGCTTTGCAAGTTCCTTTAGAGAAACTCAGATCCTGTAAAGATCCAATTGCCAAAAGCAGAATGAATGTTATCAGATATAAAGTGAAGCCAACGTGGGCCATGCAGGCAGGGGAGGAGGAGCTTCAGCATGGAAACACTTGGGATTATCGGCTCTGCTGAATTCCACCTTACTTCAGATTATTCAAATATTAACAGACCCGGCTGCCAAAGAACGAGCCGAGCAGCACACAGCGAGACTGCAGCTCACCCTATGGACCCTGAAAGCAGGCTCTGCACCAAGCAGTTTCCCCTATTGTTTTACCATTTGGAACATCACAGAGTTCTCCTTGGAGAAGTTTTAGGGAGTACTGTCTGATCTTGTTTTTCAATTGACAGAAAATTTACAATGATGAAATTAATTTCAGTATAACTGTATCCACTTCATTAAGCCCATTTTAAGTGTCAGCTTAGCCAGCCCTAACATGTAACACAGCAAAATACAATGTCAGAAAGCTCCAGTAGATGTAACTCCCTCCCCCCCCCACTTCCACAAAAACTTCTCCACAATTCCTCAGTTTTGCAACACAACCACCTTTGTTCATGTAGGAAGTCAAACACTCCAGTTACCTTCTGCACAAGAACTACCATCAAATTAAACTGCACTCCAGATTTCTAACAGGACTTGCTCTGCACACTCCCTTCCTGGCAGCCAGCCATGCTCACGTGGTGTCCCTGTTTGCTTGGGAGAGAAACAAACTCCTGTCTAAAAGTGGGCAAGAACAGAAATGCTCAGCCTAGTTCCAACCCCATGATAGTTTGAGTTTGCCATTGAGCTTTACTTCTGTAATATTCTTTGCAAGATAAAAAAAAAAGGCCCAGAGGTAACAATTTTCATTTCTTGAGTTAATACTGAGTTCTATTTTTTCCCCTCCTCTGCAAGAAAAAAAATAGTTGGTTTGGAAAAGATTGCACAGTTGAAAATAATAGCATTGTTTCAGACAAATATAACAAAGGTATCTCCTGCTGTCCTGCACACTCTTTCCTGATGCTGGAAAGCACACCTGAGTTAAGCAACATTGCACCTAGTGCTTTCTTAAAACTTGAGGAACAGCTGCAATTGATTTTAATGGGTAAAACATTTGTGCATTCCGTTTTGCAAAAGTTACCAATATCAGCACACAGATAAGAAAATGAATCCCAACCCAGTCCTTGAAACGACAAAGCTACTCAACTCCAGAGCACACAAAAGGAAGAATTACTATTAATTGGTGATCTCGTGTTTTTGCCAATTTCTGGTTTGTTGGCAAGTAGCCAAGTGTTCTCCGAACAAAACATTAAATTAACGCACATCAAACACACAGCGATGATATACAGGCACAAAAGAAACAAATCTCACTCTCCATCTTAATGAGCAATCTTTTTTTAAAGCTGAAATTAAGCCAAAGCAGTCACTCAGACTGATCATGCATACTGGCTTCAAAATGCATTTATTAACAGGAAAAACGAGATGGATTTAATCCACAGCCAATCTGCTCTGTTAGTATTCAAAAACTCCAACGGGCATCACAACAACTGTCTGCACTGCAGACTGGAGGAAACAGCAACACTGCAGAGTTGTTTTTTTTTAAATAGAAAACTGAAGTGATTTAAGTACAATCTAATGGTCAGTTTAATTAAAAAAAACACAAGAAAAGTTCATTAGAATATAGATTTTCATATTTACACAACAGGCAGTTTTGATTTTAAAGTAATCAATACGTGACTTCTAGCAGCAATAAGGACGTATAAGCAACATAAAAGATCTAACAAACATGGAAGAATTTGGTGACATTCTAAGAGAAAACAGAAAGCGTAACTAGGTGGGGACTCATCTACCATAGCAACTAATAAACACTGAGTCATTACCTCCACTGTCCCATCAGTTCAGCATATATACTCTCCTGCACTGAGGACAAGAGCCATTTCAGAACAGACCCATTAAAGCATGTTTCTGTAGAGAGGCTGTCTACTTACCATGAAAGCTATTCCAGAATTAACAACATTCAGAGAACATACAGTTTCTCTATAAGAAGAAAAAAGTTCTCACCTGAGTGCATATGTATAGCCAGTGTTCTCTGGCACACATTGGGGAGGAGTGTACGTATGTAGACGTGAAAAGTCCATGGTGACAGTTTCAAATCATACTGTAAAAGGTGAAAATAAAGCAATGCAATGACTTACAACTGTATAAAGCCAATGTAGGAGCCCTTGCGTTATTCAGCCTGTGTTTCCAAGTATTGAAATCATTCAAGTGACTGATACAAAAAATACGGAGCTCTCAGTGTTTCAGCACAAAGCTGCCAGAACTGCACAGCCCTTATCAGCCCCACATGGAGCTCAGCATACTTCCGACTGATGTCAGTGGTTTGGTGGTGGGTTTTTTAATGTCTATTTCAAGTCATTTCCAAGTTCTCTGGAACCGTGCTGTAACATGAGCCAAGGCTTTTATCACAGCTAAGCTGCACCACTTCCATATGAACTCACCATACTACCAGGCCCAGCAGCCAGATGTTGGCCCCTCCTCGTTGTGCTTTCAGGTCCCTTCACAGAGCTCTGCTTCAAAAGGCCACTGAGCACAGCACAGCTGCATTACGCACCAACAAAGCTCAGTACACGAAACTTGAGACAAGTTTTTACATATATTCAAATCCTTTTACCCTCTGAATGCCACTTGCCAAGCAGCAAGGAGGCTTCACGTGTTTCACATTGACTTGTTATATTTGTTAACAGTTAACTTGCTGCAGTAATAGAAACACTGGATACACACCCTTACAGAAGGACCAACTGCAAAATGACTCACATTGCTAGAACTGTCCTCAGTGCCAACAGACAAAGAAAAAAAAACACGGTGCTCCCAAACAGAACAAAAACACAAACAGAAAACCCTCTACAAAATCTTCAAATGCATCAGAGCTTCAGGAAGGAAAAACTTGGTGGTGCTGTATCAAGGAACTTGTGTGACTAAAATACTGGAGACCTTCTCTACCCAAGTAGCCATAAGAAAAATGCTGCTTTTCTAGAAGAGGTTCTTTGACAGTAAGTTACTCATGGTTAACGACAGGGGTCTGGCTGTTCTGGATGGGCATTGTTAGCAGAGCAGAATCCTGGCTATTTCCAGCTCACCGATGGCTTCTGTTTCATCAACAGGAAAGGATATTCCACACAAGTGCTCTGACGTGCCTAACTAAAACATGCATGCCCTGGCTACGATTTAACTCTTGTAAACAAAATATCAACAAGCATCTCATTTTAGGGATGCTGCCTGTGATTCTGAAGGAGTTTTTATTCGTATAGTAACCTAAAAAAGTATAAAAAATAGAGATAACAAGCACAGGGAGTCCCAGGCACTGCTAATACCAGTTGAAAAGGGAACCTCCGCATGCAACACTGAAACCCTTTGCCACTCCCTCTACAGTCTCCAAATCCCGATGGCAATGAAGTAGGAGGAGGACATTTCCTTTGCTACTGACAGCTGAGCTTCCTGCTTGTTTTTAAATCACAGCTTACAGATCTAAACGCTGCAGCTTCCTGAATGCAGGCACCTCCCATGCATCTTACTGAGGAGTAAGGTCTCTCTTCTGCTCTTCACACATTTGTTTTTGGAGATTTCAAAGACGACATTTCCCTTAAATGATCTTTCCTTCACTTGTCCCAGAGCCATCATGCTTTTAATGGCTTGCGTAACAAATTTGTTGCTTCTTTAGTGGAAGCTTAAACCAACAGTGAAAAAGTATGGGGCAAGGCAGTCTGAGTGTGCTAGAATAGCACAGAATAGTGCTACAGCAAACAACTGCTGCCGTGCTTTAACAACAAACAGCTCTTCTTTGAGGCCATACAAAATAGAAACCAAAGAGCAACAATTCCCCCCAGTAGTGAAAGTGGAAATACAGTGAATTTCAAGATGATGAAACCTCAAAACTATGATAATGGCTGATCTGTCTAAACTGGGACAGCACCCCTGTTCAGTTTGTACTGACATCCTTAGTACGTGTACAGTTTCACCAATAAATCCAGCTTTTAACTGGCAGCTCAACACCTGCTGTCATGCTTTTGACATCCAGCAGTGTTTTCCCACATAGCCTCAATATTTCTACAGCTCCCCAGCTCCTCCCTGCTGCTCACGTGGATGGGGCAGAGGCAGACTTTGAAAAACAACACATTGGCTCAGGCTCCTCCTGTTCTCTTTTCCCTTCCCAAAAGCTCACTTGTTACTTGAAATTAAGTGGTAGAACCTGAACTCCTTATTTGACAAAGTCTGAAATATAACATTGAGCTCTGTAAAATGCATACTTGACAGTGGCACTACTAAATAAAAACCTTGACTATACTTATACCTAGCTCTAGCAACAGCTGGTTTTCATAGCTCCGAGATCTCCAGCATAAATAAGCTGAGTTTATAGCCAGAGATCCCTCTTACAAGATCCAGGAATTTTATCTCATTCTGTTTTTCTGATTCTCTAAAATTAACTCATACTGAAAAGGAAAAACATTTACTTATTTTCAAGGAGACGGAACTGCCTTAACTGACTTAAATACAACTTAAGAATAATCTTCTTAAGGATAATAACCATGGTTTTTAAAAACAGGTACTTCAAATTTACTATGAATCTGGATTTTTATTTAAACCTGGCTACCAGGTTCAGACTGATTTTAGAGAACTCACTTTATTTGGAAGTGTTGTATGTATTACAGCAGAGCTCCTGAGCAGAGCAGGTGTGGGTGGAAAGCAGCAACTCCCTCTAATTTGTTCACTTGTGTTTGACAGCACTCCTATGTTTGTCCAGCCCATTAATTCCTCTTGTTTACAAAACTTTCGTATACAACTGGAGCAGAGAAATAGAATTGAATAATTTGGAATTTTAAAACCATGAGAGGTAGACACAGAATATAGCTCCAGTTTCAACATCTGGGGGCTTATGAGACTTAGGTCCCCAGGGATCTGTCCAGACTCAGATTCACATAGGCTTGAGCTTTGTTGTCAGTTTCACCAGGTCCAAACTAAGTATACTTTTTTCCTTCAGAAAGCCCATAAAACATTTAATTGCCTAAAAATGTACCAATAAAAATGTTTAAGACAACTAAAGGCAACTGAAGAGAAGCACAAACTTCACCTAAAACACAAGCAGAGATTAGACAGCTGGGTCACATCACTGCCATCGCTCTTCAACTTTTAAACTGGCCTTGAAACTTCTACTGAGGAGACAGCTGGATTGTTTGCTTCCTGGAGAAGCAGATGACAACAATCATCTCAAGCATCAGCTCTCTTTTGCAACTCAACCAAATTCTGAGTCGGGCAGAACACAAGGAAGCCCAGAGACTCCTATAATAAGTGCTGCAGAATTTACCTTTTAACAAAGTCCCTCGGCTGTTCCCTGGAGGATGCTGAATACCAGATGTCTGAGTGACACAAGGCCACACCACTACTTCATAAGCCTGTTTACCTAATTTGATGATCACTTTCAGGACTAGACAGCCTTAACAAAGCCCCAGAAGCACTGCAGCAAGCTCCCTCAGTTGTATTGCAGACAATGAGATGCTCTGATAGCGGCCTTGAAGCAGAGAAGGGTCAGAAGAGCAGAGGCAGCACACTGAACAGCATGTAGTATGGACAAGGGTGAGCCCCATCCTCACATGCTTCTTTGAGCACATGGACAATTCTATCTCAGCACTTCCTGAAGAGCACCTTTGCAACAAAGAAAGCGGTAAAACACCATCTCACAAAGTCAAACTCCTCACCAGGAAGCTGTTATTGAACAGGAAGCTTGGTTTCGGTTTTCTAAGTCCCAGAAAAGCTTTTGTAATTGCTGGAGCACCCTGCAACTGGTAACTGCTGGGCCACAGCAGCGGGCACAAAGGAAGCAAGGCAGCACTTGAGCAATGCTTTAGCAATATCTTCTTTGGGGGTGGGACAAATACTAACAGTAAAATAAATCAATTGCCTGTAGCTTTTACAGTGACAACGCATTTAAAGCTTTAGAAAGATGTTGATGGTAATAGTTGACGTAGAGCCCACCTAAAGGAGCTCATTTGCTTATGATTTCATACGCTTACAAAGTTAAAGCAACTTTTGGATAAATTATTAACAGCAATGGAAGCAGAGCATGTCACGTACGGTTCCTGAGAGCAACCTATTTTTATCTGTAATTTCAAATTTCGCACTATTTGGAATAACCAAAGATTTCTCTTTTTGGTATTAAAGGCAAATTCTTAAGTCAGTAGATGCTTCACGGAGCGTTTCCATACCTCCGAATCACTAGTTCCAACAGGCTGAAGGGCAAAGAGCTCCGTGCTACAGCAGGACTTGATTAAAACACACAACCCGGCGTCGTTTTCACACAAAACGCAACGACGCGGCGATCGAACAGCCGGAGGTTACGGGGAGCTCCGCGGCCGGCCGCCCCGCACGGCGCTGAGAGGAGCGGGCGGCGCGCTGCCGCCGGACCTGCCGGGATCTGCACGAACCCCCGCCGTGCGCGGGGATCCCGCCGCGTGCCCGCGCAGCGCAAAATGGCCGCCGGCCCACAGCGCCGCAGGGCCGCCCAGCGCAGCGCGGCGCGGAGCCAGCGGCCGCCCCACGGGCTGTTGCCGTCAGCTCCCGCGCGGGGCTGCGGGGAAAACACTCTTTTTCACGCTCGTGCAACGCGGTGCTCGTGCTTATCGAGCTGAGCTCGCTGAGGATAACGAAAGGCTCCCGCATCCTTCGCTTCGCTCATGAAGCAACTCCAACGGCAACTCTCTACCAGAAAAAAAAGGAATCCAACAGCCTGGTTGTGCACGGAGCGCCTCCCGGCCCGCAGCTGGCACCGGGGGTCCGCGCCACATGTGCCGACACGCGGAGCCGGAGGAGCGACAGATGGACCCCGGCACCTGCACAGCGCCCCGCGGGCTCACGTGGGCAGACAGCGCGGCCCCGAGAGCAAGGCGGGGAATTAGGTGTTCGTGTCACTGAGCTGGAACAGCGGGCTGCAGAGCTATAGGGCAGGTTTTTAAGAATGAGAAAAATAAGATAAAGATGTCAGTTTTCTTTCTTTCTTCTTTTTTTTTTTTTTTAAATTGTCAGATGTTAATCTGACAACCAGACCGTGAGATAAGGGGATTGCGAGCATCCAAACCAGCATCAATCCTGCAGTTTGCTGGTGAAGATTCTGCTTTTCCGTGACATGTGGCAGACAGTGCTGCTTTAAAACGAAGAGCAGACGTGCACCAAGGCCAACCATGCACTTCTTCCCCTCCATCAGACATAAAACTTCACGAGCTCACTCCAAAACACGCACTGCCTCCAAACAGCTCCGTGCCTCACTGCGCTTTTGCTCCTCTGCTACACAGGGGGACCAAAGCTGAGCATCACAGCCCCGTGCCCCACAGCCCAGACACCGTGGAAATGCTGTTACAGAACCACAGAATGGCCCGGGTTGGACCTCGAGGATCACGAATCTCCAACCCCCTGCCACACACAGAGCCACCAACCTCCACATTTCACAGCAGCCCAGAGCCCCATCCAACCTGGCCTTGAACACCTCCAGGGATGGACGGGGCATCCACAGCCTCTCTGGGCAGCTGTTCCAGCACCTCACAACTCTCATAGCAAAGAACTTCCCCCTGACACCCAACTTAAATCTCCTCTCCCTCAACTTCAAACCATTTCCCCTCATCTTACTGTTATCAACCCTTTCAAAGAGTTGATTCCCCTGCTGTCTGTAGGCTCCCTTTAGGTACTGAGGGCTGCAATGAGCTCACCCCTCAACCTTCTCTCCTCCAGGCTGAACGAGCCCGGCTCCCTCAGCCTGTCTTTATATGGGAGGTGCTGCAGGCCCCGGTCATCTCTGTTGTTGCGTAGCACAGACAGGCAGCGCTGCGTGCAGGGCTGCTGCCTTCAACAACACAGGAGCCCGAGGGGCACAGAAGGCCCCGCAGCGCCCCACAGCCGCACGCTGAGCCGACACCGAGCAATTCTTCGGAACCGGCGGGCGAAGCTGCCGCAGCACTTATGACAAGGAAAGCTCCGCCATGCGGGCCGAGCGGAACGCGAGCGGTCACGGCACACATCTCATCTCATCCCATCCATTCCGCCCACCGTTCCGGCCTCAGCAGCGCGGATTCAAACCGCTCTGAGCGCCAAAGAGGCCCAACGTCCGTCGGTGCCTCACAGCCGCCCGCCCCTCGCCCCGCCGGGCAGCGCGCAGCGCACGGGGCCGCCCCAAAGCGGATAAACACGGCGCGGGGCCGGGCGGAGCCGCAGCGAGCCCTGCGAGGAAGGGAAAACCGGCGAGAGAAAGGGGAGCCGCCCACCCGCCGCCGCGGAAGGCCCCGTCCCGCGGGCAGAGCGGAGCCGGGCCGGGCAGCTCCGCCTCGCGGCAGAAACTCCGCCGGGAGCCCGCGGGCGCGCGAGGCGGGGTGCCGCCGCCCGAGGTGGTCGTTACCTGGCGCCGGCAGAGCGGAGGAAAGGCCGAGCCCGCGGCGGCACAGATTGCCCTCGCTTCGCCCCGCCCGCCTTACCGAGGCCGCCGGGAGCCCCGCCCCGCGCCGCCCCGCCCCGCGCCTCCAGCAGCCCCGCCCCGCGCCGGGATCGCCGCCCCCGCGTCGCCCACCTCGGCCGCTCCGCTGCGCGAAACGGGGCCTCGGGCGGCCCGGTCCGGGAAACGCCGCCGCCCGCGTCTCTGGAACGGCCGCGCGCCTTCCCGCTACTGCCGCGCCTCTCCCGCGCAGCCGCTTTGGGATTCCTTCCCACCTGCCGCTGCCCGCGCAGCACCTGGGCTGAAACAAACCGCGAAAAAAGGCACGGTTCGAAACGAGCCCCGCGACGTTCCCGTGTTTGGATAACCGTGGAAATAAGTTCAGCTCGCAGTCTGCCCCTGTGGCTTTTCCTAAATGTCCCCACGCGGCGGGGCGGTGCGGGAGCTGCTGGCCGGCCGACAGCCGCGCTGCGGGCTGGGGGGAGCGGCTCGGCCTGCCAGGAAAGAACGGCTCATAACCGCGTCCTGGTAAATAAAGAAAGAGGCTCTGTGGCCTTGTTTGCGTTCAAAACGGGCTCAAGAAGCAGAAATTAACAGGAGGTCATTCAAATAAGGTGCCAGCTGATGTCAGGCAATCATTGTTTCTAAAGAGCTGTACTGCAGGGATGTGAGAATTTCGGGTGCCGTACCGAAGCTGAGCTGAGCCCAGGGCACTGGAAGCTGGCACGTGGTCAGACACGAAGCCAGGCACTAACCTGAGCACACGGGTAAGTGCTCTGCAGAAAGGTGAACTATGCCACTCTTCTGTGCCTTCTCTTGCTGTACTTTGCACTTATTTTTGTGTCTTTGCATTAGAAAACGTTGAAACGCAGAAGGCAGTCAGGACAAAAATCTTTTCTCAGCTCCAATCTCTCTGAAACCCTTTGGTGGTACCAGGCCCTCCCAACGTCTTTCTCCTCCCGTCCCACTGGAGCGCAGCCAGGGCTGGTCGCTGTGCTCTGGCAGGACGAGGCACGCAGTGCTGCCTGGGCACAAATCCAGCTCCAAGGGCTGCTCCACTGGTCCCGGGCAGCTCTTTTTCCCTCGGGACTGGGATGAGAGGTTGGAGAAGGATGGCCCAGACTCAGCTTTTTCTCTGCTCCCTGGCTTTGAGGAGAGCCTTTGGCTCTTCAACAGAGAGAGCCGATGGCGTTTGGCTTCTAGAACTTAAGTGAAACTTGATCCAATATTCTAATTTAGTTAAAAGAAGCCGGTATGTATTGAGAGCTAATTATTTCCATATTTCAGAAAAAGACTGCTGTGCAGAAAATAAAATTTATTTCAGTTTTTCAGCTTCCAACGCTCTGGACGTAAAATGGGATCAATTTTATTGGCTGATGTCTGGAGAAAAATATTCAATATGAATAAAAATAGATCATAGTAAAAATGTTTCAGTTTCAATGCTCTAAAGGACAGTTTGGAATTTAGGAGGGAAAAAAAAAGCCTTGTTACTTGGCACCAGGGAAACCACAACACATGGCCAAAGCAACCCAAGGTCTGCATCTCTCAGTCGCCCTCTCTTCTCACATTCCTGCTTCCTTCTCTTCCTGTTCCTTCGTGATTCCCACTCTTGTTCCCAGTGCATTCCCACACTCTCACTTAGCAATCCTGTTCTGCTCTGTTCTCACCCCTGCTATCAACCACAAAGCTTCAGGTACCCACAGCAATTAGAGCTATGGGCTTGTCGTGACGGAGACTGGTGCAGCAAGGAGTTTCTGAGTGGTAATTCTGGGTACTGGGCACAGACCCTGCTGTGCAGGTTGGAAATGCCGAGGGCACAGGGAGCTCAGCAGCACTGCGGGGCAGCAGGGCATTGCAGCAATGTTTGGTAGGGATGTGCTGAGCTGAGGGACTCTGTAGAAGCATTTTTTATTGTGAGCAAGTGTGGTAATGCTTTGGTCCAAGGTAAGGAGATGAATGTATATGTGCTCTAGTACAAGAACTGGCTAAAGTATCTGGAAGTCTGAATTAAAGTTTCTCACCAGTTTCATTGCACTTTATGGATAAACTGGTGAGGGTCTCTTCTTCACATCATCTCCGGTGTCAGCCCAAGGAAAAGGATGCTCCACGCAGAGCACTTAGGTTATCAGTTAAGAGGGGGCTGCAAAGCACTTCAATTCAATTTTGCCTACAGATCCTGCCGTGGTCCTGACTTACAGGGGATTTTAGACATTAACAAGAAAAGCCGATTACATACAAGACAGACTGACAGAGCAGCCGTTCTCCTCTCATCTGGTGCTTCAACTCAGTTACTGAGTTCTTGAGCTTCCCTGGGGGATTGATCTCCCTAAGTGGACACAAGCCTGTTAACTGTAATTTTTGTTGAGCTTCAGCTGCCTAATAGTAAAGACTTTTTGCTTTATATTTTTCCATCTCTTTAAAACATGGATAGAGTTTTGCTTGTAGGACTGAGGTAAGGAGCAGTCCATTATGCATCCAACAGGACCAGCTCTGACCCCATCTTCTATGGGTAAGCCAACAGGGGCTCACATTTCCACTGGGTGATCCTAACAGATTCTGCCAATGGAACAGAAACTGCTTTTCTCAGGTCTGCAGTGGATTTCCACAGGCCAGGATGTTACTTTGTGTCTGAAGGACTGTGTTTATTTTGCCTGCACAAATGACTTCTCCTAAGTAAGTGAAGCTCATGCAATAAGCAATTAGAACTCTAACCTGCATGTTCCACTGTGTAAGTCACAGTTCACTCCAATAGCTAGCATAGTACTAGTGGTGGGATTCACAGTTAGGAGATACAGACTTCACTATTTGTTAATAGTGGTCATTGCACAATGTTCTGCATCATGTTTTCTGCTCTGTTAAAGTTATAGGTGCACTTCAACTGCTTTGTCACCATGGCAAATGTGGAAGCACGACCCAGCTCTAAGCAGGGGTTTGGCTTTGGGAAGCACAGTGCATTACTGCGTGGTGTGATCAGCCAAAATGTGCACCTCCAGGCACACTGCCTGCAATCTGCCTAAAGCTCTTCTGAGGAAATTTGCAGCTTACCAACAAAGACCCACACGGATGAGAGGCGGATGCATCTGAACATCCTTCACACCCAGCCTCCCCCAGAACTGCTCTCTTAAGATGTAGAGTTTCTCACAAAGTAGAGGTGCACTACTTTACAGTGCTCTCTTAATGTCTAATCAATGGATTGTATTTAAGGTAGTCAACAAACATTCAGAAGCCTATACTCAGACAAATGCACACACTTACCAAAAATATGTTCTGCTGAGAATCCGAGTCCCAGGATCCTCTACAACAGGTCTGCTATCTTGCAGCCCATATGTTCGTCACAGGAAGGGCAGGGCTAAGTCTGCTTATCTATAGAGTCTGAAAGTTTGAGATAACCATTTTGCTCAAGAAAAATTGTCCTTGCTTAAAACTTACGTAATGAATATGATTGCAATAGTGCTTTATATATATAAAATGCACCCAAATAAAATCTAACACACGGTAATCGATGAACCAGCGAGACTGAAAGGAAATCTATATTTCAGTTGTGTGCCAACTGACACACAAAGGGCTGAATCAGAAAGACTGGAACCAAAACAGCTTAAAAACCCAGGTTCCAACATCATCCATCAAGAATTCATCATTATTCTTCATAAAGGGATCTGAGAAATTTAGGTTATATGAGATGAAGTATGGAAAACTATAACCAAGGTTGGCATATCGTTGAAGTTCTATGCCCAGAATACTGTCTAATAAAGGAACGCAGTGGAGGATATTAAGTTTATCATACATGCATAAACTAAGATCAGCTTTTGTTTAACACGTCTTTAGAAAGGCTATCAGAATATTTTGTTCACACAGCTCTGCTGGCTCTAAAGAAAAAAGCTGTTCTGTTGGATGATGCGGAGATTTTTGTTTGGGAGGCATCCCACAATGGACTGTTCTGAAAGATAACAGAACACATGCAGACAAAAAATACTTCCCAGCCAAGTGAATATGTTGAACTTGATGAATACTTTGGCTCTGAATGCTTGTAGTTAGCTTCAGTTTGTCTGTATTTCACTGCACTTATGATATTCCTTTCTCTCTTCCCTAATCCCATGCTTGAAAGCAGGTTTATAAAGAAGGTCACAGGAGTGATCTGCACTGCACATCACTTGTACTGCAGCTATCCTGTGGCTGCAGACAATGCTGAAATAGAAGAATCTCAATTTCGTCAATGTGGATACTTTAAAAAAACGTTCCTGTAGCGATGTAATTGACCAGGAGGTCCTTGGTGGACTTCCAAGGGAAGTTTATAACAATAATTGGTTTCTTGTTGCTACAGCAAGGCCTTAGGTTGTGTTGGAAGAGCCTGTTGCTTTGCAGTGCTTCGAAACCCCATTTTTTGATAAATGTATGCTGAAAAACTCACAGGGTTCTGCTAGGATAGCCATGTAATCTCCTGGATTTTTAATAATTGATTAGACTAAGAAAACAATTTCACAGAATCATAGAGCAGCTGAGGCTGGGAGGGACCTCTGGAGGGCATGCAATCCACAGCTCTGCTCAGGTGGGGGCAGGTAGAACAGGTTGCCCAGGACTGTCTTAAGTCAGGTTTTGAATATCCCCAAAGGTGGAGACTCCACAACCTCTTCATTCCGTGCAGTGTTTTCTAGTGATTTTTATTTATTGTACCTTCTGGGAAATTGAGCCAACCCTCTAGTTACACTGAGCTACATACTTCTAATAGTTGTTAAGCAGCTAAAACAGCACTCAGTACAGGAATATAGTTTGGCTTTTCATGAAAAGAACACCTTGAAGACCATACATACAATTTAAAATGTGCATTCTATTCTACAGAAATGCCAAAGAGCTTTTGGATCATGAAGAAATTATTCCTATATTCTGTATCCTTAGTGTTATTGTCCCTTCTGATAGCGTCTTCAAAACAGCACAGTATTTGGCAGAGGAGAAGCCATAAGTTTGCCTAATTTTGCTTGTAGAAGAGAAGTAGGATCTGCTTTCTGTATCTATTCTCTCCCACACGTTTCTTGGGAATGCAGGTAGGTACGAAAGCAGTTTGGTTACCAGATAGATCCTAAGTGCGAAAAAATACGATTCGCTCGGAAAGATAAGCAAACAGGAGGACTTCCTATAGTATAAGGAGCACTGCCAAACCTTGCAAAGCCTATTTTTAGACTTGATACAAAGCCAGGACGTTTGGGAGATAGGAGATAAAAAGCATTTTTGCCTAAAGAGAAGTAATTAAAAAAAAATGAGGAACCTGATTTTCCACAACTTTTTTGTGTGTGCAATAAATGGCACACTATCCACAATGACTGGAAGCTCACTTCATTCCATAGCTGAGAACATGAAAAAAAAACAACCACCAAATACCCCAAACCTAAATCTTATACAGTACAACAGTCTTAAAATCAAAAAAATCCAGCAAAAAACATTCACCCAATATCGGAGAATTTCACTTCCAAGTAGGATGCAAATATTGCTTGCCCTCCGAGGCACTACAGTATCAACATAAAGGTGCAGATACTATATATTTAATTAATGCAACATCAATACTGATAGTCTAAATGACAAAAAGCACATTTTTTTCCACATCCAACCCTTAATTTAAAAAATGTCAGCTTTATTCTCAGTCACAAAGTATAATACAATGACAATACAAAACACCCCTTTGGTGACACCTACTCATAATATGTCCCTGTTATTGCAGCATAACGAGCACTCAAAACATCACGAAAATTCTGCTGCATTATGCAACACAAGTTTGGCTGTCTCTATTTCTGGTAAAACTGAGCCTTACTGATGTGACTGCAAAGCCCGAGTATCAGCCACAGTCTGAAATACTCCTTGGAAGACTGAATCCTCACTGAACAACATAAATATATTTGATATTAGATTATTACTTTTTAAAATAAATGATCTCTATCAAATAGAAACGGTGTCGAGTTCTTGAAAAATATTCCTCTTTTAAACCTTTCATCTAGAAATGCAAAGAGAATGAAAACATTGTTTTATTGCTAGTAAATACAAAGAACTGCTCACATGGCAAAGAATGTAGAGTTGTGCCAACCTGAGTTATAAATGAGTTAATACTGAACTTCTAGAGAAAAAAAAAATCTATTTATTGCTCAGCCTACCTTGAGCAAATGAAACATGAAAGCAATCCATATCATACAGATTCCAAATGCAGCTCACTAAAAAGACCTGCAGAACTGATTCATTAAGCTGGTTCTCTGGTGGTCTGAATGTGATGCAGTAGTTGTTTACAATAGACTGGTGTTCGATGCTTATCTATAGCAATTTCAACTTCTCTCACAAGCAGATCGGGATATAAAATGCTCCCTTCTTTTAATACTTCTGTAAAACAAAAATATGGTGTAAAAATCATTAGTTGCTTTGTGCTTTTCTACTAATGTTCCCTCAAAGTAGCTGCAGCCTTACCTGGGGGCTGTTGTACAGGCTGAGCATGCTGCTGATGGCCCTTTCATTTGCTGAGGTCTGTATATTGACATTGATACACTCAAACACAGAGTCATACACCAATCAATTGCACTGAATCTGTATAGCAAGCTGGGATATGGTCACATCCTGCAATGGTTGGTGTCTATGTTCTGTGTCCTGTTTACTGTCTATACAGAGTTCTGATGCATCAGATATGCTGATATTCCCACCCTGGTGAACGCTAGATGAACCATTACGTTCTGCATACAGGTGAAAGGTCTGAGCTCCCTATCACCAAAACCCAAAGGAAAGCTGCCAGTGACACCAGCCCACTCAGAGCAGTCTCTCCTTATCAATACTATTTTCATGTAACACTTGAAAACATTTTTTTAAAAGCATTGTTAAAAATACAAATGACTGAAAGTCTTACCTAGGACTGCATTTTGGGTATCTGGATCTTGGTCATCCAGGTGTATCAACAGCTCTTGGTACAGAAACTCGATGTGACTTTTCATTGCAGATTTCACATCACTGCCCTTCAAGCATTTAAACCAGTCAATTAAGGTGTGAGCAGCAGTCAGTCGTACATCAGGTGATGCATCGTCCAGACGCTTTAGAACCTCTGAAAAGGAACACATATGTAACCAAAGGGCTACACTACCAACAGAGAAGTTATCTTTCCCTCTTTGTTTCAAAGCATGAATCTATTTTGTAATCCCTGGAATTATTCTCTAACACTCTACCTGCGTAGCACTATGAATGCCTATTAATTAATTGCAGAAATAGTACTTCTGTACTCTGTAAAGCATTGTATTTCTGTAAAACATTGCATTTTCAGTGAACAGATGCATCACAGACTACTTGAATAAGCAAGATGCAAAGATGTGCTTTGCTGATGGTCTGTTTATACATCTCACCAAAATAAAGACGTTTGTTGTTAAGATTTCTGCAGTACCATGTAACAAAACAGTCATTAAGATGCTCAGTTTGGGAAGGGCGGATTTATTTGTTTACATTTCTGAGAACATAAATCCTGTCATATAGCATAGATTGTACTTCTCCTGACTAATTGTTTAGCAGTACAACATCACCCTAGTAGGCACTGCAGAAAACAGCTCTATTTCACAGTATAGCACTGTAGATTTGGAGTTACTTCTTTTTTTTTTTTTTTTCCTTTTCAAACCAAATCAAGCCAACAAGTCCTGAACAACAACCTGCTACGTATGCAGGTCTATTTATGGCACAGTGACACAGTTTGCTCTTGGCACTCTGAAACACTGCACAGAGAACAATGTGACTACCATTTATATAATGCATTGCTGCTCTGCTTTCACTATAGTTAGAACATTATTTCATACAGTCTAAAGTAAGAAGCAATGCAGATGAACCTCTGGTAAGCCTTGCAGACAATAACAATGACTGAAGTTCCACCTAGCGGTGTAATGCATAACAACATCAGGAACACTTAACACTCAGTTCCACTCAGTTGGGAGTGAGGGCATCTGAAAATGACATCAACGTACCTGCAGCACAACCTCTATGACATGAAAGCCTGCAGCTGAAAAGCTAACAGAGCAGGGCCTCACAAGAAGCAGGTGCTGCTGGGTTCATGCTCAGCAACACTTACTGAGGTGTCCAGCACTTTGATTCTCCAAAATGCATACCTATACTTCATACACTTCATACAGTCTCACCTAACAGTTAAGGGTTATGTCTTCAGGACATTAAATGGGCTCTCACAGACAAGCCTATTGCTAACCATATGGTTTTGTGCAACTCTTTTTCCAGTTCCTTAATATCTACAGAATTATTTTATGGAATAAGTACCTGAATAGTTAAAATATGCCAGATAAGAGGATGTAGAAAGAGCACCAGAATATATTAATGGGAATAAAATAAGAAGTCAGCATAAAATCTACCCCTATTTGGAATTCAAACTGTGGCTTTTTTTGCTCTTTACATAGGATTAAAGCCATCACACATCAGTGACATCACACAGACTTGGCATTCCCCAGTCTGTGTTAGTGCTTGCATTGCTAGCAGCCACAGCCAGCCTGCAGGTGAAGTGGACGACCTGCACAGTGAATGCACCTACGCTGCACAATGCCCTCAGTGTTACAAACAAAGCTACTAGAAAGTCTCAGGAAAAAGCAATTGTAACTATACAGTACAGACACATCTCCCCCAACACCCTGACTCTTATATGTACCTGGGTAAGTCTTGCCAAGCTGGATTTCATCAAATTGCCTCCCACAGACTTTTAAAATACCACCAACAATGCGGCAACCCATCAGCCGACTGATTTTAGAGTCCTCATCCATGGCAGCAATAATTTGGGGCATTAACGCATCCTTGACTTTTAAGATCTAGGATTAATGAGGAAAGCATAGAAGAACAATAGCTTTTCGGTCAGTTTAAAGCACTATACTCATTGCTTACATAAGTCATAATTTGGTCTGACAGATCACGGCTTGCCTAATTAAAAAAAATAAATAATTATACCTAAAACTCCTGAAGTTACACAGCTCCATTTTTGCCTGGAAGTAAACTTGGGAAATAAAAACCTACCAATATATCACACAGTTTGTGAGCACTCAGTACGTATGCATATGAGTTTTCTGAAGCTGATTAAAGCTTTAGACTTACCTGCCTTTTTATTAAACAAACAAACAAACAAAATACAAATCCTGGTGAGACTTTCAATAATTTGAAGCTGAGGCAATTTATGTACCAGTAGATGGTGCTCTTATTCTAAAAGGAAGTTTTTAAATAAAGACCATTTTAATGTAACACTTTTGGCAAGATTCATTATTTGTCTTCAACACGTACATTTTCTGTATGTTGATGCAAAAGGGCGTCAACGTCGCCCACTGATTGAGAAAAGCATTTGAACACAACAGCAGCCTCTGACATCTCACACATGCTTAAGCCCTTTGTTCAATTAAGATCTGTTATTGAGACTGTAAATGTTGAATAACATTTAGCACGTTCCCAATGCACCATTTTCAAACACCATTTTTGTGAACAGACAAGCTTCAACCCCCCTCTGATTCCACCATCCTCCATCACTATGGCATCTCGCATTTCTTTAAGGACACTCCCCGCCAGCTCTCTACTTCAGTTTCCATAGATACCCCTCAGGTTCCATTTCAGCTCCTCCTGCCCTTTCCAGAAGTTCTTTAGATGATTTTCCCAAACAGCCCCATGGGCTCCAAGGCAACCAGACAAGCTGTCACTGCCACATGCCAGCAGCTCCAATCCCGGCCATGTCAGCACTGCACTGATGATGCTCACAGTGCTCTGTGTCAGCACTGCTGTTGTGCCAGGACAAAGCCCTGCAGCCTTTCATGGTGGTGAGCAGAGCCCAGCACAGAGCAGGCCCTGGCTCTGCTACCAGGACCCATCATACCCTCACTGCTCATCATTTCACTTGTTACCACTCCATTGCAATTAATTTAATTACGAAACTTATGTATCTATTTGAAAACATTACAAACAATAAGGAGCTTTTTTTCTTCTTTGCATTTATTTTGTTTTCCTGTGCAAGATTTCAGAGTACATTTGATGAAAAAGAGAGAATTTACCTCTTCTGGTGCAAGCATCTGGCAGTGAATAAGAGCCCAAAGGCACGACACAGCTGTGGTGCGGATGGCAGCTGCTGTCCTCCCAGCATGCCACTGCAGATTAGGAGCCAGGATATCTTTTATCACAATCTCCAGGTAGTGAGGGAACAGCCTGCAGCCAAAAATAAGAAAGCAAAATAAAGGCTCATGAGGAAGTGGTAAAGAGACTGAAGGACGCAAAAGAGAATTTTCTGCCATAGAAACACAGGCAGAAAAGGGGAAAAAAAGATTCTGTAAAAAAAAAAAAATCTTGTCAACTTGATTATAACATATGTGATAAGCCCTTCATAACTTAATTTTTTGAGGTAATATGTAAGCAAATACCAAACATGCACAGAAAGGAGAGGCCAGACTTCCTCCCACTTCAGATGATGCCCACGACTCACTGTTATCTGGGTGCTCTGCTTACCTTCCCTCTGTCTCATTTTCTCTGCCTGCAAGGCTGAGATAACACTCCACGTGAGCACTGATAGGATTCATTAATATCTGTAAGGCCTTTTGAGACTGCCCAATGAAATGAATCCACAGTGTGAGAAGTATAAATGTGATTGCTGAGACCAGAACTGTGACACTGCAGGGAGCACCCCAAATACGTAGCTTTCCCCTGGTGGAGAAGCCCCATCTACCTGCTCTGTAAGTGGATAACAGAGGCTCTTGTTGTCCACTTCATCCCCATGCCCCAACAGCAGCTGGGAGCTGCAAAGCATACAGGCCACAGAACAGTATCTCTCTCTGCTGCACGAGACCTTGTCACAGAAATGCAACTGGGTGCTGCCAGACCTCTGCCACCCATTGCACACACACCTGCACGATGGGAGCCCACACACCTGGCTGCTGCCTGCTCACCACAGAAAGGAGCAGTGCATGAGGCATCAATCCGTGCCTCATGTCCAGCAGGTGGCACATAAGACTCAGTAATAACAAGAAATCTGTAGTCCCAATAGACACATAGAAATTCATCAAAAACCTTTGATTTACTATTTTAAATACATTTCTCAGAGCTCATAATTCCCAATTAGAAAATTTGCTAGAAAAAAATATTGATGATCACAATCATTCCAAATTTCCTTTTTGTTCCAAGCAATTCCAATGCAGAGGTAAGTTCCATCAGCATCACGTTAACCATAACTCTGTGCTGTTTGGGAGAATATTTGTTCTATCACTTTGAAACAGAATTGGGAAAGCAATCGCTGGCAGCTCTCTGACACAATAATGTCAGATTCAAACAAAATTTGATGATCATACAACTGTGATCAGTGTAATAACTGAAACCCTTCCTATATAAACTGTTGTGCAGCTAAACAAATCACTGCCAGCAATGAACATGATTTTGTAACCAGAACTTACTGTTATTTCACCACGCTCTCATCACCATTAAGATGTACTTTTTGCTGCTTCAAATGCAAGTAAATCCTCCATCTCTATACTTTCAAGTCTTTCTGTTGTAAATGCTTGTAACTTGATGTTAAATATGAGCCAATTCCATGAGAGGACATACAGTGCTTGTGCTATTGGTGCTGAGGGACATGACTTAGTGAAGGGTTGTTAGTTAGGCTAGTATGGCTGGGTTGTGGTTGGACTTGGTGATCTTTAAGGTCTTTTCCAACCTGAGCAATTCTACGATTCTATGTAGCCTATGCATATTATATGATACATAGTTCTACAAAAACAAACAAACAAAAAACCAAAGCTCTGCTTACCCCTGGGAATTGATGGTCTCGTTGGCTTTCTGGAGCAACTCTGATAAAAGAGTGAAAAGTTTTAAGCGCATCTGGGGATCTTTGTTTGGTTGCAGACATGTCTTAAGAATGAGAATAAAGTCATGGAGAGCTTCACCTATTACAGGACCTAGAAAATGAACACGTAAGAATACAATTAATTTCTATTTGGATGTTTCATATACAAGCACTTTAAAATGTGTAATATGCCTGGTGTTAAAACAGCATTTAACTTCACACTCACAGGAAAGGCCATGTTTGAAAGGGTCGGCCTCAAAGCCTGGGTAATAAAATTACTGCAGCCAAATTATTTCTCCATGTTTAAATAATTTGCATTTGACAAGAGAATCTAAAATACAGTGAATTCTTACAAACTACTATTTGAAGCAAAAATATTTTCCAAATTCATGCTCTAAACTATTAATGTTTTTACCTCCTCTGATGAATTCTTTTTTATCACTAACCAAGGAGCTAAGAAATAAGCCCCGAGCTGTCAGCCCAGCATGGGAAGAAGTGATTTGGTCAGAGGAAAGCATGCCCTTCTCCTTGACAATGATTCATATCTGCTTGGTTTTTAAGAGGGAGATGCTCAGACCACCAACTTGCTTTATTCTGTGAGCTGCTTGCAGTGGAATGCTGCTTGCTATGAACTACCTTCCCCTAGAAACTTCTCCAGCTTCACTTTCTTGTGATACACACTCCACTCAAGTCCCATCACTCAGAACCTGCACAGGAAGAGACACAACACCCGGGCCTTTCTGGTGACCAGAACGTTCTTCACATGTGAAATGCACAGACTGAAGTGTTCACCATTCCAAAACAAGTTCAATAGCATTTTGTACTATCTGGAAATGTAATGATTAATTAAAAATAAAATAAAACAAATCTCCAACGTCTAGACTTAGGCAATATGGGGTGAATGTTAAGCTGCAGTTTGCTAAATTTCCATGACGACAAGTAGGTCTTTATTTTCTTAACATTTATTTGAGATATATTGCTTCATGTGAGTTTTGGGGCATTCTTAAGACACTTATTATATCATACTGATAACACCAAATCCAACAGATGGGAAATAAACATAATAATCTACACTGCTAGTTCCAGAGGAAGCACACATTCCTGAAAAGCAGCAAAAACTGAGACATTGGAAATGAGTAAGCCTGATTACACTGATTAAAAAGCAGCATTCTGTGTGGGAATGATAAGAGAGAAAAAGAAAGACAAACAAACAAGCAGATTAGCCGTAGGAGCTGCTGTGTTAGACAGAAAACCCAGACAGCAGCACATAACCAGCATGGGGGGCAAGTCAAAACGTCTGCCCAGACATTTTATGATTTATTTGCCTCTAAGGAAAAGCCAGACGACTGTCTAGGAGTTCCTCAGTTATGGGAAGGGGAATGCAAGCATGCAGGGAAGTTGGCTTCTCAGAGCTTGCAGTGAAAAAACTTCTTGTTCTTTCCACAAATCAGAAAAGTACTTAAGCCTTGAACTCTGAGAGCACGTGCTTGATTTATCAAGTCGCCTGGTATGTACTGTGAGGAATAAAGGAACGCTGCTTTCCAACACCACATTGGGGTTAGAGAGTTTTCTTCCCAGATTTCGGATGACAGAGGCTCCTTGCAGCCGATGGGTCCTTTTGGAATTGGAGCTGCCTGAACATTTTCATTTTTGCTTTTCATCATTGTTGCGGAGCTTCTGAATACTACATTATTCATTATAAAATACCATGTGTCTGCAGGCTACCGAGATTATTACTTTATCATTCCATTTTTAAGAACTGGATGGGTTATCACAGTACTAAATAAGTCATACCTGAATGAGTTGCAATGACATCTAACTGTAATATTTCTGGAGAATAGCAGGTCCAACTGTCGTGTGACACTGAGACCCATTCCAGAAGCTGAAGGATATGCTGTCTGTAGAGATAAAGAAAACCATCCAACTGCTGCACTTCAGCTAATGAACACATTGTTTCTTCTGCCTGTTAAGAAAGGAGAGGTGAGATACTTCATCTTAACTGGAGTGATGTTTGAAAAACAAGTCAATCTTTGAAACTCTCTGGTTACACCACAAGAAAGGGAAGGCGTTCCCACACTTGCAATTTGGATGATCAAGACCAATACATACAGTGTCAGCCTATAATAAATCCTGTAACTCTGACTTTAAGGCAAATATTCGTCCTGATCTCAGAGCAAAATTGTAAGGAACACAACAATGCAGGACCAAAATTAAAGCTTCTCTGATCCATTTGAAAACCTATTCAAACCTACCCAAGCCATGAAACCACTCATATTAGTTTCAGCAATGCAGTGACTTTCGCTCAACTTAACAATGCTTTAAACATCTACGTAAAGGCAATTTCCCACACAGACGTCCAGGCCTATGGCAGCTACCAAAACTACTGCCACTACTGCTCAGACAGGGCAAGGAATTCCCTCCTCTCCTCCTGTTCTTGTGTTTTGCTTTTTCCCCTTTCAAACTTCAATGAGGCAAAAAGCCACATAGAAATTCCTGCAGGCAGAGATGAGGAGCATGCTGAAAGCACTGCCTACAGCACTACTGATTTCAGCAAACAGTGAGCCAAGAACAAGGAGCCAGGAATGGTTGGGAACCCCAGAAAGGAACAGCACATCCTCAGCATGGCCATCAGTTCCAGCAGGGAATGCCAGAGCACAGTGCTGTGAGAGATTTGCCTTTTAGAGGTGCAGCAGGACTATCCATCACAGCCATCTCTCTACTGTTTTTGAATTGAACTCCACCACACGTGTCAGCTAAAACACACCAAGGACCATTGGAGTGTTGCTGGCTAATAGCTTGCCAGACAAAGGTGTTATTATGGAAGAACCAGATGTGGAGAAAATAAATGAGATTTTTAAAATAAGTCAGTCAATCCGGATTTGCTAGGAACAAAGGTTATTCATAAAGCAGCTTTGCCTGCCTCAAGCACAGTGAATTTTTCTTTCTGGAAGCATTCTGTGAGCCAGTCAAAACAAAACAGAATAACCTGAATGTAAAATACTCATTTATCTGTAAATAAATTGGAAGATGTTACATGACAGAATGTGTCAAGAGAGAAACCATTCTCCATTACACCCCCCATCCACAACACATTTTGTTCTTTATTAAACAAAGGAGGCACAAAACAATGCTTCTTTCAGAGGTGATTTAAAATAAACTATTAACTAGTTTCACATGTGAAATTGAAAAAATTGGAGAGAAATCAAATATGCCAACAGATTGCTGTGCTTCTTCTCATTCAGAAGCGTCTCGTAGTCAATAAAAAGAATAACAAGGGTGATTTTCTTTCATGTATTTGAAAGCTAGCAAGTTTAACAACGCGTTATTTTTGTGCTAGTAATCAACACATGCCCAGAGAAGAACTGAGACAGCATAGGATACTGGTAACAAAACGAAGCCTTACCTTTAGGTCACCAGTTACAGCACTTGACAAGCTCAAAACATGCCTGACTGACTGTAACATCTGATTTAACTTCAGTCTATTGGGGGCTGTAAACCATACCCCTCATCACAGCTCCTCAGTGCTCAGTTGGTGGTCCTGATCTCTTCCCTTACCCCAGGCAACTAGAAACTGATGGCTGCAAAGCCGAAGGGCCAAGAATCAGCAAGCTGGAAGAGCACAGATGCCCATCAGTCACATCAACTGCAGCCTCCACAATCACTCTGCTCTGCTGTCTCCTTTTTTTCAAGTCTGAACTGAAATTCTATAATGCAAATCTTTGAATCATTTCTTTTTACTCTTAAAATCTTTTGACCCTGAACGCAAGAACAGCAAAAGGAAAGAAAAGCAAAAAGCAGCAAGCTGGATTCACCTTGGTGACAAACTTATATATTGCAATTATGTAAGCTTGTCGCCAAATACTCTATTTGTGTAGCTGAAATAAAGACTAATGAGAAAAAAGATTCTCATCCAAAGTACTGTCAGCTTTAAAAGTCAACTGTAACTGCAGGAACATCCTAAACCTTTAATAATCTTGAGAGATTAACTTTTCTGTCAATGAAAATCAGGATTTACCTCCATGAAACGACTTCCTTTGCAGGAGGATGAATTCATATTGCTAACTTTACAGACCACTTAAAGGCTAAACAGACAAGATACTGGAAAACATATCAGATCAATCTGTCTGAGGTTTACTTGGACAGATAGTCTGTTAAAAAAAACAAATACAAAAACCACAAGGCCAATAAATGAAATAAAATAAATCCTGCTCTCACACTGGTTCTCCGCGAGACAGATCTTTATGCTGTACCTCTTTGTCCTACAAACTATTTTTAATACTTGTTCCATTTCACCTCTTTCACAGCAGTTTTCTAAGTGTGTGCCTCACTGGAGGCAGCCTGTCAGATGGGAGTCATAAATACTGATGGTGCACAGGCCTCTGGAATAGCATGCCTGGGAGCAAGAGCAAAGGCAGTAGAATAGACATTACATTTAAGAAGCACATTTGAAGAAAGACAACTTGGATGGGTCATGATTACACTACATGAGGAAGGCTTGCTGATTTATTTAGCTCGGGGATCTAAGAGGAAGAGAAGAATAAGGGGGTGAGAAAATGCGTAGTCCAAAAGCTCATCTATTATCAGAGCATCTACAGATGCCCTTCACTTTAAAGCATTCCTGCAACAACATTTAAGCTTTTAATTCTGGTCAGGGGTAAAAAGTTCAACTACTGTAAAATCAGTCAGATGTGTGTTTAAAGAGAAAAAAAAAAAGTACTGATTTCATTACTATTATTAATAATAGTATTAATAATATATATAATATATAATTATATATAATAATAAACATTATTATTAATAATTATTATATTAATAATATTAATAATAATAATGCTAGTCCCACTTTCATTCTTGCATAATCTCAAACACTAAAAAGAATTTACCCCATGTAAAGGTTCCCTTGGTTGTCATTAAGAGTCGGTAAGAGATGCACAACAGAGCCAGAGTTAAGGTCAGGCAATAGCAAATAACTTCAAACCGTACCAACCTTTGTGAAGGAGCTCTTAGTGAAAGATTTCTGTCATTTTAAAGTCTAACAGCCACACAAAAAATTATGGCTCTGTTTAGACAAAGCACTTATCAACATTAAAATAAGGAAATGCAGCAGAATACTAAAACAGTTTGTATCTTACCATCTCTTTAAGGTGCTGAGAACTTGGTACTGCCATCACTGTCACCAAAACTTTCATGAGCTGCAAGCAAATTTCTTGGCAGTCTTCCTGGCATACTTCGATCAATGCTTGTACACAACAAAGCAATTGCTCCATGTAAAGGACCTTTTATTAAATAAAAGCATATATTTATTATGTTCATTAGAAAATAATCTCTTTAAGAGGGAGATAAGGGAAGTGATAATAATAAAATCTGAGTCTTCTGAATTAGTCACATCGATCATTTGATGCTAGTTCTTTTGGTGACCTACATCCTACTTTGTACAGAACACAACATAATCCTCCTGCCTTGTCCTGCCAACAAAATAAATGATCCTGCTCTTAACCACACAATCGCTCCATTGCGAATAAAAACATCAAAGCATTTGGTGCTTACAGGTAGCACTTTCTCATTCTGAAGCGTAATTGGTTAATTAATAACATTTATTATAACTTTTTCAAATATTATTCCACGTCTGACTATTTCAACTGAACAGTAATGGTTAAATGCATAAAACAAGAAAACCCGAGTATCTGCATTTATCTTTGCCAATTTATCTCGTTTGCTGCAATATAATGCCTGTTATCTTGATCCAACTGATGTCAATAGAAGTCAATATTCTTGTCAGTTAGCTTGCAGTTACTTCTGTGATAAAGTGCACTTGATATTCCATGAAGCTGTCAGACTACATTCAACTAACAGAAGGGGCCATTGTTATAAATTTATTACCAAAAATAAATCAAGTCTAGAAATAGTTTAGCTATCCATGTTATTAATCTCATGGACACAGTCAATCCTTAGCTAAACAATGGCTATGCAGCATTTGCTCTCTATTTTAGAGATAGATTGTTTCCAAAACCATAGGTTAGAACAATTTCACAATTCCACCAAATGCTTTGACACAGATGAATGCGTCTTCTGTACATCGCTGCATGGAAATGCTGAGCACAAGACCTCATAGCAATTCTGCAGATATACCTCAGGGAATTGTTCTTTGAACAATCAGGTTATAGTGCTTCCAGTTATGTGAGTTCCTAATCATCCAGGCTTCACGGAGATTAAGGTTAATTCTCTGCATCACTGGTGTATATTCCATTAAGGAAGAAACCTAGAATAACTCCACATGTATACCTTACATTGGCTCAGACAGATAATTATGCCAGATTCAGTCTACACACATGAATAACTTTTGTAAAGGGACTTTTGAGTCTCGTGAAGACAGAATTTTCTGAAGGCAACAGTGCAGCCTTTTTTGGTCATCTTAAGAACAAAGGCCTAAGAAACTTGTGCTGCAATGAAAGGACAGGACTGCGTTTGTGGGGGAGGTGGTGAGGATTCCTCACAGATCTTTTTCTGCATCTGGGCAAGCGTGGAGGAATAAAAAAAGAAGAGTAAGATAAAGAAAATAATAATAATAATCCTAGAATTCATTCTCCATTGCACACTGAAGAGAAGCTCTCCCCTCCTTATATAGCAACTGATGAATATTCTTCAGATGGCAGAATGGCTCAGCCATTAGTAAAGGTCCATTTGAGAAGACATTTCTAATTTATAAAGGCCTCCTTGCTAGAATCTAACTTAATGAGAAGCAACCAAGCTGAACAGAATATAGAACATGCTCTTAAATGTACAAATAAGCAGCATACTGCTCTCTTCTTTTTAAAATGGAAGACAGTATACAAATTAATACAAAACAAAAATAAGAAATGACTTGAGAAGGGAATCTTTCCTGGGAAGCCAACATGCCAGTCTCTGCGGACTGTGGAAAGCTGTCCATTGCTGATGATTAAAACACATTATCTTGTTTGGACTGTGAACACAAGGAATTTCAAAGCATGGATTGAATTCTGGCTCTGGACTGGCCAATAGAGAATGCTGTTTTACAGCACATTCTGAACAGTCTTTTCTTTCCTCCTCATGCCTCTCCATTTTTCTCCCACAATATGAAGCATCCTACATCAGCTCTGGAACTTGAATCCACGTCTGCTAAGAGGATGGATTGCCAGCAGTTTTTTGGGAATAGTTTGATCGGGAGACCACAACTAGGAGAAGAATATAACAAGTCTCAGGAAAGACTCGTAAACTCCTGTCTTAGTCTCAGACACGTCTACAGATACATCCTGAGACAGAGAGGGTTGGGTGTGCACAGGAAGGGTAAGGGAGCACTTAAGGAGAACAAATAAAGAAGTGTGTTCAAGAAGCACTTCCAAAACTTGGAACTGTCATGTTTCCCTAAGATCCTTACCTCCTCAGATTGCTGACAAACTCCAGCCTGTGACAGCGTGTCGCCAAGATCGCTCAAATGAGGCTGCAAGATTTCTTTTGGGCTACCTCGAATCACTGCAGCAAGAACCATTAAACAAGATGGCTTAGGTGTTACCTCAAAGGCTGATGTGATTAATCTCAAAGACACTTTAGGACTGACAAACGTTCCAATCAATTCTGCTGCCTTCACACACTGGAAAAAAAAGAACAATAGGTATAGAGGATTCTTCTGGAAATGCAAAGACCATCCAATATGTCATCAGGATTTTTCTTTTTATGATTCCAGCTGTTACTTTAAATGCTGCAGGCATTTACTTTAAATTGCCTTGTAGGCCTTTTCCACTCACTCAGGAATTGTTACACGCATGAAGAAATTTTCTTGACATGTGTTCAGTAAACACATAATAAGGCATGCAAGCATCCTTTCTGGCCTCAGACAAACTTCCATGTGAAAGCAACACACAGAAATGTACAGCTTACAGTGTAATTACATCTCTAGCTCAAAATAACCAGATGTTGCAGATTTACTGGCTTCAAGCTTTCTCCAAATGCTGTTCTCAGGCACGTGCTCTCCATGCACCCACCACACACTCATTTAAAGCATCAACAGTAAATACATCAGTGGGATTTTTTGCTATTGTACTGTATTTTGGCAGTGATGTGACTGATTTGGCTTACTGTGAAAGCACTGCCATGGAGCTGCTCACTGCTTGCAATCTCTCCTTTAGTAGAATGGGCTGAAATTGCTATCTATTCCCCATTACATTTGTGCACTTTGATCCCATCTCTGCCTGCAAAGCACGCTGTTCTTATGTGACATACCAGCACATCAGGCCTTACTGATGCCCAACCCCAACCAGGTGCATTACACAGACACACTTAACACTGTGCAACAGGAACATTTCTTCCTAATTCTTTTATTCAGCAGTTGGCTTATTTACCCAGACACAAAAGCTTACTTCCCCTTGTATACTTCCACTCTAGTGATTTAGCCAAGTATGTTCAATTGAACCTAATTAAAATTTGAATCAATTCAGGAAAAATCAAGGGAGGGAAAAAACAACCGGTATTGAGACAGAGTATAAAGCCAACAGAAAGAAACTGCAAAGGAAAAACAAAGACTTGAAGAAAAATAATCATTTCAGACATGGGTTTCTCAGTCTGCATATGGCTAAACTAAAGTGGGAGTAAAAAGAAAACCTTAATTTGGGAAATCTATTCTATTTAACATCAGTTGGACTACTTGCATCCAGTGAGTGGAAAATATTCTTCCAATTCCCCAAAGCAATACCACTTGCAGCTTTGAATTAAATTATGTGATGCTTGTGTTATATGTATGCTGTCTTGCTTGTGTAGAAAAATGAACAGATCTTCTCTAAAAATTGTAAAGACAGTCTGTATTGCCTGTCTGACCTCTGAGAAATTTGTCTAGTCCTTTCAGTGACATAAATTTTATTGCCTTATTATTGAACCAAGCCTTGAGAGCAACAGCTGATACAGTATTAGATAAAAATTATACTAATTAGTCCTTGCAAAAACATTAGGAGTGTTAAGTATGGAGACACTGACTGCGGGTATGGTGTGGAACAAGGTGGGTTATGCAGCAGAGGGAGAGATCAATTGAACCTGAATGGGCATGACCTGCACATGTTTCTAAAGGGAATCTGTTACCACAAGTCTTTTACACTTTAATCTCCTGCTTATGGTTTTTATGGAGATCATTTTTGAAGCTTCAATTCATGGAGTTGGCATATAAACTAAACAGTATTAAAATAATTTTATTATTGGTCTTCATACCAACAATACAAGAATGCATTTATTTTAACATAGTAATTAAATACAATTTATACATATTTTTAACACCCATTAAAAGCTGATCCCGATGCCACAGGGAAGCTGCAGTGACCCATGGTACTGCCATCCCTCACACAATGCACCCAGGTGCACAACAAAGAGTGTCTTCATGAAGCATGGAGCAGATACTTACATTCCTAACCACCTCGCTTTCTTCATCCAAGCACGCTTGATACAAAGTTCTGAGAAGCAGCTCCATGTGCTGTGTTATGTGGTCCTCTGCATGCAGCAGTAACACATACAGAAGCTGGGATGCTTTCACTCTCGTGCTTTTAACCCAGTCTGTTAGATCATGGCAGAGAGCTGGAAGGACTTTGGAGAGGTTCCTTGACACGAGTTCCCGACAGCCCAGTCCTGGTCGAGTCACTGGAGAGGGAAAACAAACCCACAAATGATTCACAACACAATGGCAGCCATGTGGAAGGAAAAGCCTTGGAAGAGTTTAGAAACTCCAAGACGAACTCTGGGAATCTGCTTCAGTGTGGAAGAAGATATTCTAAATGCTGCTGAGGATATATGTGCAAGCTGTATTTCTTTAATAGATACTACAAAAATTTAATTCCACACCACTCTGAAAATGTGTACATATATTTCTTACTACAAAGTGGTTTAAAGTTTATGCTATAAAATGTTTACAGAAGGAAGAACGTACATGAGTATGGCACAATGCCCACTTTGGAAAATGCTGCCTAATAACTTCCATGATTTCCTTTTAATTGTTTTGACAGCACAAATGCCAGTTAAAGAATTAACTGAAGCCATCAAACAGAAGGACTCTTCTGTGCAAGCTCTGAGTTAAATCACTGAGTTAAATATTATTTGGAAAGGGAAAAAAAAGGCAATTGCTCTCAGGTCATACACTTTTTCCCACCTTTTAAATGCAAGTACTCCAAAGAGAACAGTGCTAAGCCAACCTCCTCAGCACCACCCACCTGAAAAATCCCTACTTTCTGTGCAACACTCACCTCCTTTGGGATAATGAGATGGTGGAACACTAAAATCCATCTTATCCTTCAGATCTTCTTCATTCTCCTTCTCCCACTGCAAGCCTATCTTTTCCCAATAAGTCCAAGCTAGTGTTCTAGGCACAAAATAAAATAAAAATCATGACCCCCACAGGAAAACATTTTAAAATGAGACATCTGGAAATTATAACTTCTTGAATTTATTTGGAAGAACGGGAAGAGCTGATGTTTATGTGTTCAGTGGACAGAGGTCACTTCTTCTAAAGAGTAATCCCAGCTCTATCTCTCTTACCATCTCCATCCCTCACACAAACAAAAGTCACCAGAGATTACACTATCAGGAGTAGGTTTACAAATGTTTGGTTTTCTTCCACACAATTTATCTGTAAACATAGAAATACTTTCACACAGAGAAAGGGGAGTGGAGAGAAAAAGAAAAGAAAAATCAGAAATATTCTGCTTACATATTTTCAGGAATGTCATCAGTAATGCTGCTGAGTAACAGAGGGATCACCTTGTGAAAATAGGAGTATCTGTCCCGCAGGTGCAACAGCCATTCCCCAACAACTGTTGTTACAGCCTGACGAACCTGTGTGGATTAAAAACAAGGGAACAAAAAAATAATTCATTTTTTAAAAGTCAGGTAAATCAAAAGATAAAAAGAACAAAATTGTTTTTGGTATCTAAGATTTAGCATCTAGTGCACGAACAGTTTCTGATAATGACAAGAGCAGAGGATCTCCTCACTTGCAGCATCTCAGCACACCCCGTGCTCCCCCTTGTGTTCTCTCTCTGACTCGGCCTTTGACGAAGTTCTGCACAAACACTCACTTCTTGTGCTTTGTATCTCTCTGAGAACATGAGAAATGTAAATTTCTTTTGAATTTGCACCTTACCAGCATTTCTCCAGAAGACAATTTTATCCATTTACTATACCAGAAACCAAAGTTAAGTAGTCTGAATGCACCCATTCAAAAAATAAATTATTTTACTTATGATTACATAGCACGTTTCTAAAGGACTACTGCAATTGCATCTTATGAAGGAACCCAAACTGTGTTTGTTAAGCATCTAAAAAAACCATAGAACAAAATCCCAGAGAGATCTGCCAGAAGAATTCAGACAGAACTGGAAGCCTCCTTTAACATTAAGGTGCCCACACACTACAACAGTGTGCAGAACCAGACAGCAGTGGAGCAGGCCATCCACCCTGCTTTTGGGTAGTCCACAGCTGACTGGGCCCATATGTGACAAGTTTACATATATATCAAATGAATGCATGAATGCTGAAAACCATGAGGAAAAACAAACAGAAAGCCAGATCTAAAATAATACCCCCCGACCTTCCAAAAAAGAAGAAAATTGACACCTTGGGAATCTCATCAAATAACCGTTGTGCCAGATGAGATAGAACATCATCCACAGACTTCCCATTTCCAAACTGTATCACTGCTCCAGTAGCCTGTATTACATCCACACGAACTCTGTAGTGCTGGTGTGAAATTGTTTGCATTAAGGGCTTTATCAGAGATTCTGATTGCATATGGAAGTGCTCTGTTAGGAGAGAGACAGAAACTTCAAGTTCTCTATTCTCTACACAGGTGACACAATTTGAGCAGGGTGATTTCTGCAGCACTGTGAGCAGCAAGCTGATGTTTACACTATATTGGAGCTGAATGCCAGCCCACAAGCACTTCTCCCCCACTGAAACATCATCACCCACACACCGTAACTGCTCATGGAATCATAGAATTGTTTAAGAGTTGGAAGGCACTCTTCAAGGTCATCAAGTCCAACTTCTCTGCGCTGAGCAGGAAAACCACAGCTCCATCAGTGCTCAGATCCTGTCCCCTGAGCTTGGGTGTGTGCAGGGACGGAGCACTGACACCACTCTGGGCACCCTGCACCAACACCTCACTGCCCTTAGCATAAAAAACTTCTTTCTTATAATCAATCTAAATGTGCCCTGTTTTAGTTTGAAACCACTTCCCCTTGTCCTATCACACAGACCCTGCTAAAGAGTCTGTTCCCTTCTTTCTTACAGCCCCTTCAGATACTGAAGGCTGCTCTCAGGTTTCCCCAGAGCTCTCCCTTTTCCATGCCACACAGCCCCAGCTTTCTCAGCCTGTCCTTGTAGGAGACGTGTTCCATCCCACAGGTCAATTTTATGGCCCTCCTCTGGTTCACATCTGTGTTGCACTGAGGACTCTCCATGTGGATGCAGTACTCCAGGTGAAGACTCACAGCACAGAGCAGAGGGGTAAGGTCACCTTCACACTCTGCTGGCCACACCTTTGATGCAGCCTAGTGTACAACTGGCTCTCTGGCTAGGAGGCACAGTGCTGGTTCATGCCCAACCTGCATCCAGCAGTGGATATCCCTTGTACACCGGATCCCCCTTGGGGATGACAAAGCGCTCCTGTGGGGGTGTGCACCACGTATTTCTCTTCCCTGCCGCTGGCTGCATCCCCGCAGGCCCCGCCCCCAGCTTGGTCCCCTCGGGACACCGCAGCTCATGGCACCCCGCGGTTCCCCCCGTGCCGCCCCCGGGCCCCACCTGGCACGGCCTGAGCGCAGGCCACGGCGCACCTGCAGCCCTCCCGCCTGACCTCGGCGTAGTGGTCGAGGAGGGCGGCCTGCAGGATGCCGACCACATCGGACAGGTACGGGGCCACGGCGGCCCCGCCGCGCCGCAGCAGCAGCCCCAGCAGCTGGAGCAGGCCGAGGCGCAGCTCCTCGCACGGCTCGGCGCCGAGGCGCTGCGCCAGGACGGGCAGCAGGACGGGCAGCGCCTCTCCGGGCCGCTCGCAGCGGCTCAGGCCGTGCAGGAGGAGCTGCAGGGCGAGCTCCCGGCACCGCTCCGCCGCGTCCCCCGCCAGGCAGCGCGCCAGCGGCCGCACCAGCTGAGCCTCGAAAACCTCCCGCACCGCCTCCGACGAGAGCGGCCGTTCCTGCACCTCGGCCCGGATGGCCTCCAGAGCCCGCAGCCGAGCCGCCCGGCCGCACTCAGGGCCCTGCAGACAGCTCAGGGGCCGGCTCAGGGCCTGCGCCAGCTCGGCCGCCCCGCACGCCGCCATGCTGCCCCGGCGATACGGAAGCGCGGCGCCGTTGCTAAGGACGCGGCACGCTTTACGACGGCGGGAAACGCTTTACGGCCGCACCGGCCGCGCTTGGCGGCAGGCCGCCCCTTGCGGCTGTGTCACGTGGTGTGCGCTTCCCTTCACCCCTCCTCCCCCCCTTTAATAAATAATTTATAGCGGGATCAGACTCCCCCAATAGCAATATACCGATTTCTGCAACGGCGTTATTTCTGATATCCCCCGAGTTAATTAATACGTGCTTCGGTTGAGCGCTGCACACCGCACCGCGCAGCCGGCCGGCGCCCCGAGCAGGCGGTACCGCAGCGTGCGGTGTCATCGCGCCGAGCTCGGGGCGCAGCGACGCGCAGCCCAGCCTCGCATCCAGCGGCCGGGCAGCCGGCGGCAGCGCGTTCAGCCGCCATTACGCAGCGCTGCGGCCAGCGAGCGCTCTAACAGCCGGCCCGGCGTCCGGCCCCGCTCCGCTCCGTGCCGCGGAGGCCGATCCTGCGGCTGAGTGACGGTAGCGGCACTTCCTGCGGCGGCGGGGCCGCAGCTTTTGTGTCTGCGTCCGTATGAGGGAAGGAGCCCCGCGGTCCCGGAGCGGGCGGCGTGAGGAGGAGGCGGCGGCGGTTGCGCTGCGGAGGCCGGCGGAGAAACGCTTTCATCCGTGAGGGCGGCAGAAAGAGCCGCCGGCGCTCCGCACATCAGCGGCCCAGGTACGGCCCGGCCGCTCCCCGCGCTGCCTGCGGGGCGGTGCCGATGCCTTGGAGGCCCCGCGCGGCCATACCCGGGCTGGGGGCGGCTCCGCGGGGCGCAGCGCTGGGAGGTCGGCCCTCCTCCTTCGGGTATCTGCTGCTGCTGGGCTCTGAGCGAGCCTGAAATCCTCCTGAGACGCGAACCTGGGTTTGTGCCGGGCGGGGGGAGGCTGCGAAATGCGGGGCTTTAAACCGGTGTTTAATGACTGCCTCTGCAACTCGTGGCCTTGTGTGATTCGTTATTTGTAGATGCTGAGGAGTTAAAACGCTCTTTTTGTAGTTACCAATGCGTTGATCCTATGGTTAGTGTTTGCAGAGCATTAAAATGTTGTGCAATGACAGCTCTTAGGCAGTACTCGTCTATCTCTGCTGCTCAAGTTCCTCCGATAAAGAACCATCTCTTTCTTACACCATTTTCTTTACCCAGGTCTGTTTACTGTTTACGAGCCTGAAGATGGCTGCTGCTTCTTCCTGCAGTGTGGAAGAAGACGAGAGCCTGAAGGGATGTGAGCTCTACGTTCAAAAGCACAACATCCAGCAGATCTTAAAGGAGTGCATTGTAAATCTCTGCATAGCAAAACCAGACCGACCCATGAAGTTCCTCAGAGAACATTTCGAAAAATTAGAAAAGGTCAGTGATTTTAACATGACACATAATTTTCTGATTTTAAGCTGAAAAGATTGTTAAAAACATTTCAGATGTTCTGGCGCACTTTTCTTCTTAACTTTTGAATTAGCAAGCAATTGTTATAAACAAAAGCTGTTAGACACAAACAAATTAACAGCCCTTTATTTGCTGATGGCTACCACGATGCTGTTACTGTCCATAACACCAAGATTATATTTCTCATCATACTGAACTTGTTACAAGTGACCCAAGAACTTGGATGCGTACTCTGAATTATGATGCATGACATTCTCAGCTCTCATCTGTGGGTAGAGCAAAAGATGCTGTTCCCTGTTTGTTCTGGTGTCAGGTGAAGTGCTTTTCCCTCACCCTTTAAACGGACCAGAGTCAGGGAACCAGCAGGTACTTAAAACTGCTGAAGCCTGCCGACTTAATTTATTGCTCCTTCCTGTATTGAGTATCCTAGGATCTCCAATGAGAGATGCATTCGGAGAGACTTCATTTACTGTGTCTGTAATCAGAAGTGTAGAGGGGAAACATACTGTTAAACATTCTCAGGCAAATCTTGCCTGAAGCATATTGGTATCTTTTGCAGGAATTGCAGATAGTGTGAATGCTGCTTTTTTAGGGGATGGGATTTCTCAAGAAATAGATGCTCATGGGCACACAGGGCTGCAAGTTGTTAGGTGTATGAGTCCTTATTCTATAAGACACTTTATTCACATACTTAATGTGAGAAGACTGTTATTATGTTTGAGGTTTTGTTTTTTTCTTTCCTAATTAAGTGCATAATATTTGTAGGCTTGAGGTAGGAGTTTTATGTATATTATTTTCCTCCTAGGAACAGAACTTTGTAAGGACAGAGCAAGAACTATTAACTAGTGAATAATGCGTAGAGCTGTATATTACTGACAATAGAAGCACTGTATGCATCTCTCCTCATTTGTCTGCTTTTCTCCATCTGTGGATATATGCCAAATTTTTGTAGCCTGAAAATAAATACAAATGTATCCAGGTGGAAATCCACAAAGAATGCCTGGAACGTTGGGTATGAATAGGAAGTACAAACTTATGTTCATTGTGTTGTGCATTGTTTAAAAAAAAACAAAACACAAAAACCATCTTTTGATTCTGTCTCTGCTAAACTCCTTAGAGCCAAGTCCCATTTGAAGAGAATTATATGTGTTGAATTTCCTTTGTTATCTGGCTTAGTATATGCAATCCCAGACTTCCTGCCCGGAAGGATAAGCGCCGCTTTTGTCAATACATTAAAATAAGCCACAGAGTTTTAGAACATTCTGCATGGCTGGTGGGATTACTTGAGTTGCTCTGGGGGAGTTTGACTTTATGCATTGCAGGAAAATTGACAGTTGTTGTCAGTTCCTACCCTTGGGTATTCTGCATTCTTTTATGTAATCTCCTATTACTTTTCAAAGGACATTGGAATTCTGTAGCAGAATATTGATCTGGTTGCAAAAACAGAACTGTTGTGAATCTCAAGAGATCATTCAGAAGCAGACAGTCCCAGGACAGCAAACAGTGTGAATGTGATGCGTAGTACGGATGTAAGCAGGTGTCACTGGCTCCTATAGGGCAGTCTGAGAGCTAAGCTGCCTGAGCTGAAGGCTGTTAGGATGCTTCTGGGGATTTCCTGTGGTGTAATTCTTGTTCCTACAGCAGTTTGACTTCCTTGCTCAGCCATTTTTGAGGACTTTCTTGAGATTGATTGTGCTGTGGGGGATTTTCTGTTGAAGGATAATGCTTTGACTTGGTCAGTTGCATAATGCTGTTGAAAGAAATCTGCATCCCAGAGGAATAGCTGTCCCTTCTCATTGAGTTGTAGAACCAAAGGTTCTTCTGCAATGTTGTTCATCTTCTTCCTGCACAAAATTGGTCTCAGGGGAGCCATGGTTTCTGACTGCACAGTGTCAGGTGGGAACAAGGTCAGTTATTTTTTCCAGCTGTGCAAAACTGACAAACAAAATCTTTATTTAGTGGAAAAACTCTGAAAATGATGAGTTTGCATGGACTAGTTGTAGAATCAAGACTTAACAGTGCAAATTTGGGAACACTCGCATTTTGAATGACTTGTAAAGATAGAGAAATCATTTAAATGATTTTTTTCCTGTTTTTGGACAGTACTTGCCATATTTAGTTACTCTGAGGAATCTTAACTGGATTGTGAATTTAACTGCTAGAGATGTGTATGGGAATGAGCAGTACTGATAGGGCACATTTGCTATTAGCTCAGCATCTGTGCTATACCTTTTTGTTCCCGTGTGGGGAGAGAGGTGAATTAGTTAATTGCTAAGAAATTGCAGGCAAAGCCTTGTATTTTCACCTATAGTGAGACTGCAAAACTTTCACTGATGTCAGACTGATCAGTGCTGTGATTATATGACCAAAGGTGGAGTTGTCTTGCCAGACCAACCTAAACTCCACAGAAAAAGGTTATGAGTAGAACTAGCGAAGAAAATGGCACAAAGGAGAACAGCACCTTCAGTTTATGTTTAGAAATATCTATTCTGATGGAGCCATTTTGCATGCCCTATATTTCAGTACAGTGTCTTTGCAAGCTGAGCCAGGCACTCTGCTGCTACCTTCTGGATCTGAGTGCTTACCTGGTTCCGTCTATTGCCCTGTGCTCACACAAGAGGAATGCTGTCGTGCATGGGCTGAACTTAATGCCATGGCTTGCTGTGGATCAGCAGTGATTTTATGGACTGGGCTGATGCTATATGCCTTCAGGTACCATCCAAAAAAAAAAAGAGTTTTGGAAAACACCGGGCTGTACCATCTGAAATCAGATAGAGCAAACTGAGGTTGTCTGGGTAGCTCCACCTTGTGATATTAGACAGTATTGCATACAGACATGATCAGAAAAATAAGGGCACACGTGTGACAAGTTTGCTGTAAAGTAGGATGGAAAGACTATTTACTGTTAGTAAATTACAATTTGTTTGTGTATAATAAAGAGTTTCAGTATTTGATCATTAAACTTCTGCAGTCTTCTGTAGTCTCTACCAGTATTTCCATTTTATCAAAACGCAGGATTTTTCTAGAGAAATGTAATTTATAATAAAATGAACTTTCCTGCAGGCATGTTTCTTCTTACACCAGGTATGCATGCATACATTTGGTATTTGGCTGGATTTTCGCATTGAAATGTTGATTACACAAGCTTTTAAGTATCAAAAATATGGTGTGTTGTTTTGTAAGAGAGCCTTTCTTTCATATGCCTCATGGTGAAGTGAGCAGAGAAGAGGTGGTGATGGGCTGAGCTACTGCAAGACCCTGGAAGGGAAGATAAGAAGTGTTAATGTGTTGCAGGAGGTTAAGGGACTCAGGAAGGCAAGCAGTGAGGCAGAGCTACAGAAATGTAGGAAGATTTTTGGCAGGAGAATTTGCTTAGACTGGAAATTGGGAATGAACGATGGTGCAGAGAGGATGCAGTAGTGGCAGTTAGAGTGGAGGGTAGGTATGAACTGCACAAATTAGTGTGTGGGGGGGGTAAATGGTTAGGGTATTTTTTAGTGATGGTATGGAAGAAAAGATAGCATTTAACATCCAGAAGGCAGAGGAATGGTGGTTAGTATTGTATGAAAGATCTCAGGTTACAGGTCTGAATGATCTGAAGAGATTATAGAGTTGTCTGCTGTGACAGAGAAGAGAGTGGGTAAGACATTTGAGACCTCCCAAATTTCTCTCAGTTTCAGTGATGGAATCAGTGAGTCCCATGCTT